ATCTAGAGCCATGCATTCCTCCAAAACCCACTATACAGTGTTAATAGGAGACTTCAACGCAAAACTAGGCACAAGAGAGAACGATGAGTAAAAGGTAGGGCAATTTGGAATAGGGCAAAGGAACCCAAGGGGCCAGCAGCAGGCCGACTTCATGGAGAAAGAGGGACTCTTTATAATGAACTCTTTCTTCCAGAAGCGGCTCCACAGGAAGTGGAGCTGGTCAAGCCCCGACGAATCGACAAAAAATGCTATTGACTTTTAGGCGGCCAAGGCATAGTGGTAGTGCTGGGATTAACGGCGACGGGTATAGTGTGCGCGATTGAGGGAGGGTGGGAGGTCCCCTTAAAACTGGGCAGGACACATCATTTTCTTTTTTTACGCGGAATTAAGCAAGTTAGTTTATAACAACACCATTATAATGGATTTCCGCAAAGTAACGCCTGATTCTATCAATTATCAAAAAAAACTGTCCATGCAGTCGGAGCTAAGTTCTGCAAGACTCACGGCAGAAGAACACAAACTCTCCGATCACACTCTCAATCTCATAGCTGTTAGATCGGAAATAAAGTTGCAGTCTTCAGCAGATTTGACAGCGTACATGCAACTGAACAGACAGATCTCCAAATGCATGCGGCGGGACTTACGCAACTTAAAAAAAGCATGTATTGAAGAAGCGATCGAGAGGCACCAGGGCTCCGAACTCTTTGCTAGATATCTGTCTGCCAGTCAGAGCCAACTGTCGAAGCTAAAGGCTGATTGTGGTAGCGTCGTTTCCGGGACACCTGAGATTTTGAGTGAGATTGAGAGGTTCTAAGGGGAGCTGTACACATCATCGTTGGAGTTACATGCAAGTGTGAGAAACGATCCAAGAGCAAGTCTTATCCGATACTACGGATCTGAGACGTGGTCCGTCACTACTGGCCGTATGAGGGCGCTTGAGATCGCTCAGCTAGCTATGGGGATTGCTATGCTCGTTTTCTGCTACTTCGTATTTCTCTGCGTGACTCAGAAATGAGTAGTAGTATCCGCAGTAGAACCAGAGTTACTGACATAGCCAAAAGGATTAGTAGGCTGAAGCGGCAATGGGCCGTCCATGTATCTCGAAGAACCGACAACCGATTGGGGAAAAAGGTTTTCGAATGGCAGCCTCGTACCGGCGGACGAAGTGTAGGGCGTCCCCCCACTAGATGGAGTGACAACCTGGTAATAAGACATGTAGGAATTCGATGGATGTAGGTGGCTCGGGACCGTGCTTTGTAACATTCCTTGGGGGAGGCCTATGTTCAGCAGTGGACTTGTGATGTTCTGTAATGAAGACTATGATGAACTAGTGTGCTATACCGGTTACTCTGGGTCAAACAAATCAGTAATTGAAGTGGCAAAGAACAACTTATAGCAGAGAAAGGTTCTCGAGAGGCAGCCTCGTACGCGATGTGTTGGACAACCGTCCACTAAATGAAGTGACGACCTGGTAAGTGACGCTGGAAGTCGATAAAAGTAGGTGGATCAGGGCTATTCTTTGAGAGTTTGTGAAGGGCTGTAACGATGATGGTGACTAGTACGCTATACTGGTAACTTCGTTACGCTTTCCACGTATAAGCGTAAACGAATATTTATACTGTGATATGTAAAAGTTTCAATTGTTATTATGCGCATGTGATAAGATGTGCTTAATGACAATAGTGTTTGATGTATTATTTTAGGACAAACTACAATTAAATGTCATCCCAATCCTTCTATAAATTACCCAGTATTCAATTACTATACTATGCCTTTATTCGCAGAATTTTAGAATATAGTAGCAACATATGGTGTGCACAGTATCACACATATTAGATTATAAACCGAAAGAAAATTAATGGTTCCCGCCTGCTACTAAACTTAATGCGGGTATTTAACTTTGGCTTTCAGCTCATAATATAGTCTGTTAAACCGAAGTAGAGTTTACTTTGTTTAGAGTTAATTATAATTTTGTTTTTTATTTTCAATCTTTTTGAGGTCTTTTTAGTGCATTACTTTTAAATTGTCTTTTTTGTAGTCGAGATTTTGAATTTTTTAATTATTTTATTTTATTTTATTCATAAATGGCATCGAATTTATTCGTATGAGGGCGACCAGAGCGAGCTGCATCTTTGACATCAAAATTCCCGGGCTGAAAAAGCTTGAACAAACTTTGTACTACTCTTACTGACACTGCATTAAGTTCATAAACGTCACAATTTTCTTTCGCGGCTTGAGTCGCTTTTTTCCCTGTTTTGTAATAAAACTTCAGAATGTATCGAATTTCTTCGTTATATTCAAACGTATTTCCAGACTGAAAAACAATTGAAAATGGCGGAAAAGTATATTTTACTTTTTATTTTTCTTAATGTCCTATATATGTGTATGATATTAAAACCAGCCAAATACAAACATTGATTTTTTTTTCAATTTTATAAAAACAAAATACGTAGAATCTTTTTCCACGACCTAACAAAATAAAATACTTAGATAAAAAATTAAAATTAAAAATATCATAAATTTCTCTCATTAGAAGATCAAATGACACCGTATGGCATTAATCACGAACGTCTTAGTAATTCGCATTTACCTGGGCTTACCATGTTCTCCTCACCCACTTAACGTAGAAGACATGCCAAATTGTTCGCCAATCTCACTTTCTTACAAAATATACGAAATACTCACCAATAATGCGCGTATGTTTGCACGTATAACCAATTTTTTTCCAATCGTTTTGACGAAAAAGAAAGAAATATGCAAATCAGAAATATACAAAAGTAAAAGAAATATTAAAAAAAATAGTTATAAATTATAGCATGTAATGTAGTACCAAGGATCTTGTAACGAGTAGAAAGCGTCGCTCTTTTATTTACGTAGATATAGACAACAATCTAGGAAAACCTTCTATAAGTCTTTGTTGTGGTAATACGATTTAATGTAAATTTATTAGTTAAAAGTGGTTTTCTAAATAAATTAAAACTAAATAAAAGAAAGTATATATTTCATCATACAAAAAAAAACACTTTAATTTTACATTTATATATTTTTTATATTTTATTTACTAATGATTTCTAATAGAGTTTTGTAAGAAATTGTGCTTATATGAAAAATTGGGTACGTGAGTCCCATTAACTAACGGTTATCGATTTCCTACAAGAATTAGTCATTTGGGAACACATAGCGTCTTTCATGCTTCCACTGTCAACGTTCAACTAATGCGGCTAAAACAAGATCTTACGTGAATATAATGTTTATATCTCCGTGAATATAATGTTATTCGAATTGCTATAATTTAAAGTAGAACAATTTTTAAGCAGTTGAGTGACGGGGTAAACCTCATGTGATTCAGCGGATCGCTCGAAAACGGACGCGTTTAACGACTGGCACTGTAACGATAATAAGCGCGTAATGACCATGTTATAATTAAATCATAAATTGTACACTAAAGCGGACTATGCTGTTTAACATCGGTCATTATGCTCAAAGTGATTTCTATTTAAATTATCATAAACGATAAACCGCGTCGCTGCCGATTTCAACCGCAGAAACTTGCGTAGGATAAAACTTTGTTTGCGTTGACATTCACACTCATTAATGATGTCTCTCATTAATGTGCTAATGAGTACTAATCCAATTCTATTCGGTATGTCGTGTAGTGTGTTCATAAAAGTTATTATATAATCTTCTTTATATATAAAAATTACGTGTCACGTTGTTTGTCCGAATGAACTCCTAAACTACTGAACTGATTTCAATGAAATTTTGCACACTGTGTGCAGTTTGGTCCAACTTGAGAGATAGGATAGTTTTTATCCCGATAAGTGACCCTCAATATTTTTTTATTACGAATTTAAGGACTTTTTTTATATGAAGGGTCGTCGAAAAGGGCAGAACAACATCTGCCTGGCCAGCTAATATATTATATAGTTCTGTAATTAATAATTATGCTAGTGGTTATTTTATGAAGGTCCGACCGAGACTAGATGTTGGTGTAAGCCAAGACCGAGACCTGGAAAAAAAATATGGGCGGGATTGAGACCGAGTCCTAGTATTTCAAAAGTACTTAAAATAGTTAAAAACGTATAAAAACCAATAGAAAAAAAATGTTTCTTAAGTTGTGGCTACTTAAACTAGTCATCAGTGGTAAAACAATTGTATATTGCAAGCAAAGAAAAGCTACGTCTCTGAAATAAGATTATACCGTTTAGACTTTATCTATTACCCATTACCCATGGTAGTTGACGGTATTGAACATTATAAGACGCTACTGAAAAGTTTTTCGGAGTTCTCTCTTGCAATTCTTAGGGTTCCGTACCTCAAAAGGAAAAAACGGAACTCTTATAGGATCAGGATTTTCTCGGGAACGCGTGAAGGTATCAAGCTGAAATTCATATCAAATACTCAAGTCTACTGTACCTTAGAGCTGTGAAAAAATCAAACTTCTAAGTCAACGCAATCAAAAGATACAGCCGTTTATGCCGTAAATTTTCAACGTTCGCAAGGGAATCAAAACCTACAGGGTACTTCCAATGAACTCATAATCTTGAAATTTGGTACGAAGCACGGTTATATATAAGAAGAACGTTTTATAGCACAGATAAAGGAAAAATTGCGAAAAGCATAAATTTTTAGTTACATCATATTATAAATTTTTTTTTTAATAATTTTAAACTTATATACCTACAGATTTGTTCGGAACTCTCGGTGCGAGAGTCCGACTCGCATTTTGCCGATTTTTTTTAAAGATGCTTGACCTTCGCTATGGAAAACAGTTTGAATATTTTTTCTTTAAACACTAACCTGTATTATTCTGGCTCGTAATATGTATGGATGGATACAGCTAATTGTATAACAAAAAACTGAACGCTTTACGTTTTCTACGTTATGATAGAGCCTTAATACATATATCTGTGTATATTACGGTAGCTTATAAAATGTTAGGTTTTGAATTAATAACTACATCAGCACAATACAGTATCAATAGTAATAATATTTTTCAGGATCCGCAATCGGTGCTCCAGCAAGCACCGACGCCGGCTGCCGTCGCTTCGGCTCCAACAACTCGCGTGAGTTCACCCGCCTGCTACTGCAATACTGCTCCAATACATACGTATTTTCCTTTCCCTCCCGATGTTCTACCACTGCATATGTTTCAAGCGATAACTTTCACGCTCCGTTATCTTAACTGTTGTAAATTGTTACTAACCCGGGGCGCTTGTGATTTTCTATGGGTGATATATTGGTGCAATTTTCAGAACTCCTTGGCATTGGACGTCCTGGACTCTAACGGTGGTCCGGCTGATATCGCGGAAATTGAGCAAATAGTCAAAGAAAAAATGGTTCGATTCAAATTAAAGCATGTAGAGTGTGCATGAGTATTTTTAATAAAAAACTGGCTGCTTAATATTTTAGTAATATATTGTACAGTCGTGTACTATCCATTCGAGTAGTTGTTATTAAATCGTTCATTTTCTTTGAACACTAATTAGGCACAGTATTTGAAATTATTTTTTGAGTTTTGTGTGTGTGTTTTTTTATTTATAACTGTTATACGGTTGCTGGTTGTACGGTCGTTTTTTAATTAATTTGCTGATTTTTTTTAAAATAAAGATTTCATGTGTCTATAGTTGTAAAGCATTGTATACAGTGGGAATTTCTGTGCCAATTTTACCTTACCTTTTTGCATGCACCTATTTATTGTTAATGATTTCTCTATGTCGCAACCTATACTTCAACAGTCTAAAATCCATTTTAATATTTTATAACGTACTTCAATGAGTATGTGTGTGTGTGTTGTTTTTTGTAGATATTTTTTACATATTTTTGTGTTTATCTATATTATATCTTCACTGGTTTCTACATAATATTTAATTTACGTATTTTCATGAATATAACATACTGAGAATCTTAAATAACAAACTTTCTCTATATATACTATATTATGAATTACTTGTACATTATTAGGTAATGCTTTTAATTAATGTTGTTTAAGTGCATATTCCTTCTTATATGTATTCTATTAACATTATGACGACATAATTTTACATATCTTATCTAATAAAATTAAACACCTTTAATCAGATAGCTGTCCGTATTAAATGTAAGAGATAGCATGATGACACCTTTTTAAAAGAATCGGTATAATAATAACTATTTGTTTTTTCTTTTCTACTGTCTTTGAGCTTGGGAGATTCGTTTGTTATGTCAGTTACATAATTCGATATCACTGTTTAAATAAGAACTCATTTTCTAAATATCCTGTTTATTCAATTCCGGAATTGAAAGCAACATATGTTTGTGTTTAACATAAAAATGCACAGCAATAATATCCTAATAATATTTAATGGAAAATGTCAATCGGTCGAGTAGGAACAGCACGGTGGGGCTGGCGCTTCTAGCGGCGCTAGTGGGGGAACGAACGGCGGTGAGGAGGTGGAGCCAGTCACTCCCGGCCCGGACGGCGCCGAAGCCATCCTCAAGAAGCGAGATTATGTGCTCCGCGAGCTCGTCGACACCGAAGAGCTCTACGTGTCCGATCTCCGCCTCGTTTGTGAGGGATACATGCGCCACATGGCGGTAAGCAAGCCTTCCCTAGATGTTAAATAATCGATTAATATGGATCGGAATTGTGAATTGCCGAATAGACTCGAGTATAATTCAAGCTATTTAACTTCATTGCAAAAAATTCATAATCTAATAAAATGGGACGCGCATAGTGTTTCAGTCTAAAACTTACTTTCAAGTTGTTGAATAAAATTATGCTGGCGTAGATCTATGTTGAACCTGAGATGTACCACAACGGTAATCCGTTATGGAATCGCAGTGTTTAGAAAAACACACAGGCGCAGCGGGAAGCGTTTCGGCGGCGGTAATTTTTATAATGATAGAGTTTTCATACATCCAGTCACATAGAGACCGGCCGGCAAATGTGCAAGCGAGGCGTTGTGGTATAGTTACCAGAGCGCGCCTTTACCTGACTTACACGTAGTACCTTTACAGCGTGTTTCGTTAATTGAAATTTTAAGTCATGTTCATACCGTTTCTGTTAATTAATACAAATTCTACTTAAATGACGCAATTTCTGAAATTGGCTTTAACTCATAGACAGTCTTCGGACTGACAATAAAGTGGCGGTACTTTCCTAACAATTCTCCGTTCGTGTTTATATCGTTTACTTAGTCCGTTAAAGTTTGCACTTCTTCTTTTACCTTGATGGTAATGATAGCAGAAGTTCTTTATCACTGAAGTTCCGACAGCGTCACGGTGCTTTCTTGTAATTTATTACGTGGGAAATAATTAATGACATCCTTAGCTTCCGGACTACCGGACACCTACGCGCAGATATACTGTAACTGAAATGGATGGCTTAAAGTTTAGTTCATTGGAAAAAATGCATATACTTCGGAGCCAATAAGCAGCAACTTTACTCCGGGAGCAAATATAGTGTGTCTACCTCCGAGCTGTAAAACATTTATCTACGGAATTTAATATTTATGGCGCCGAGCAATAAAGTGAACTACTCGAGCTAGGAATTTCAATTTCATGAACCCGTTAGTTAACAGTGAAAGTCTTCACTTTTTTTTGAAAAAAAAAAGGCTTAGCCGCAATATATTACGAAACGGAATATCACAGTTTTAAAAACTTTTTAAAACACATTAAACTATTTTTACGAAAATTACTATATATTTTCAACAGGCATAGTATGAATAAATACAATGGTACGCTAATGTGTGCAACCGGCTCAGCGGGGCTCCCTATTCGATATCGCTCCAACACAGTGGGACTACGTTTTTATTGTGCATTTAGCTTTAACCGCGGAGTGTAAACAGTCTGTTATATTAATTATTTGAAAATAACACCAACATTAAATAGTAAAATATACAGACGACACAATTTATATACTTAAATATGATTGATTTATATTAATTATCTCATAGCTGGAATTTTATACTCATACTAGGAATTATTCTAATTATTATAATCAAATTCAAGTCAAGCCGTGAGATATTATTGTTTGTCATAGATTATTTCTCGAACTACAAAAGACAGCCAATTTTGCTACTTCGAACTACGATCGCTAGTGGTGGTAGCCTTTACCACAAATTCTACCTAATATAAAAAAAAACAATTGTCCAGCAAGTATGTAGGATAATAAAGAGAACTGAAGAAGTGTGTTGCCAACCTAAATGATCACATTAGATCATCCCATGAATAAAATTCTGTGATAAAAGCAGATATAAAAGTGGAGCCCTCAGGAAATATTGGTTCAACCAGGATGAGAAGTAAAATTCAAGATTTGATCATGGGATTTGGATACTGTGACTTGAAATCTCTGAACCGTTTTTATATTAGATTTACTAACGGACTACAGTCCACCTGATATCGCGGGCACTTGCAGCTCACTTGAGATTTAAAAAAAGAACGCAGACGTGTTGTCTCTCCTATAAGTCTAAGATAAAATATCATCGAAATTCCTTCAAATAATTTCACAACAATGGGTGTGGACCAGTACTTACTTTACGACACTAAATTCCACAGTTTGGTCGTGCGATGCAGAAAATTCCGTGTTAGCGCATACATTAGTGACACTATGTAATCCACTATTATTACAGGTACCTGTTGTCACAGTAGCTATTTTTCGATAGTTATTCCGAATTAACAGTTGTTATGTAGTAAAAGGCGATTACGGGAAAGACCGGAATAATATCATTGCTTCGGATAATAGCATAACCATCTCGTTTATGCCAAACGTGATATACCCAGCGCGACGACGGGAAGCAGTGTCAAAGATGTGAGACATCTTGTAATATGATTGCCAAACTTGGCGATTAAGGCAAAGCTGCCTTCCAACGAGAGAGGCTCTTGTCCAGACACGAACTTTTATGATGAATCAAGATTCTGTAGTTGTCGCTGTACTTGAAAATTGGGCGGTAAAACGTCATTACCATCATCGCACTATGGACCATAAGAAATAACGAGCGACGTTCTTAATTCAGGATAAATGTAAATATCTGTGGGACACAGCATCCACTTACCATCAGCTGTTCAGGTGAATTGTGTGTTCCTTTGTCATCCTTATTCTATAAAGAAATAAAAAAGCGAATGACTGACTTTATATATAGAATCCGGCAGCCGACCCGCCTCTACCAGAAGGGCTTCGCGATCGTCGCCACCGCATGATATTTGGGAACATCGAAGCCATTTACGAGTGGCACCGAGAGTGAGTTACCTTATATTAATACAAATTTCACACCAACCTCGAATTTGTTCAAACGCCACATTTAAAAATACGTCAGCCACTGACAATACTATATTCCTTTAATTATGTAAACTACGTTTTTTATTATAAAATTCCAACATACTAAAGTAATATAACATAATATCATTTACTGTTTTATCAGACTGTTAGTACATTTTTTCCATACGTGGTAAAAGTTATTCAGTCGAGTAAAAAGAAATATTCGCAAGTCAATTAAATGATAAGACGCAATTGCCTGCTCACCTCGTAATTGTGTCAGCAATACGCTTGTGTATAATATTATGTATGCTAAAGCGAATGATGCTCCGCTCGCTCTGCGATTTTATTATGTTCAAGTGTGTCTTAATCTCGTTATACTTCGAAACAATTTATCTTAAAGAAATATTCGCACATTTGTCTCTTATACTTCATTCCCAATAAATTTCGCATTAAAACTCACAGATAAATTAACTACTAACTCGAAGAAAATTAATATGTACTTGAAAGGGTGTGAATATTTGTTACGCCGAAATTTACAAAATGATTATTAAAATTTACAATCAACACCGTTGTGCTGGCGAAAAAATAGCCAGTGGATAACCGCCCCGAAACTGGTGACTTTTTTAATCAGAGTTTGCTCTGTGCAGCAAATTCTTACTGGAGCTCCAAATCTGCAAGAAATCGCCGGAGCTGCTTGGGTCTTTATTCCGTCGCTTCCTAGAGAAGAGGATGTTCCTCTACGAGGCTTATTGCCGCAACAAGCCCGTCTCTGAATACATCGTTTCCGAGCATGAACAATATTTTCAAGAACTGCGGCACAAATTGGGCCATAAGCTGCAGGTTGGTATTTTTTCTTTTTTATAAAACTGAAGTTGGTAAGTTGAAGTTGGTGAAATGTAGTCAATAGATACCTGCAGCCAACTTCAACAAACAAACGGCCTGTAATTATAATATTTTCGTATCAAACGGAATTAGGAACAAATCTATTCACAACTTGTTCGAAAACATGAAATCCTACATCATACAAAGAAACTTAGTGGAATAAATCATACAAATTTAGAACCAATTGGAAAGCCATAAACTTCATTATTGTTTGAAATCCTCCGAATCATCAAAGCACTTGAAGTTAACACATTCTCACAACGTGTGCTCCAAATTTACTTATGCGGTCTTTGGCCTTCTCGATCAACTTTTCGTTTCCATAGCTATTAAAATGATGGCAGAACTTCTGTCGTTCTTATAAAATATTTTTAAATATTTATAGATTTCTTGTTATTACAAAGTAAAATAGTTTTTATTCTTGATTCGTTGCTTTGGTTATATTAACTCATTCGTCCGTCTTTGATAGAATAACTAAGCACTTATAAACTCACAAACATTGACTCTCCTATTATACTCGTATGCTTTAAAACTGCTTTCGCTTAGATGACTCATTCATGGGGTTCTAGGTTCAACTTTCAAAGCGATCCCATCTACCTGGTGCTCGCTTAACTCTTTCCCAGGTACTAGTAACATTACGTATTTGTCCAATATTCGAGCAGTGCTGGTACAATTAAATTTCGAGTCCTCCTCATTGCAAAACTGTAAAAGAACTGCAACATTTCTTTACTGTCATTGATCTAGAAGAACAAAATTAATCTTAAGTTGTAGAAGGACTCGAATCAAAATTATTCAATTTCAATTTTAAAACGATAAAATCATTATTTGGTCTCTATTTATTTGAAGTGCCAGCTGTGCTTCTAATTATAAGCTAAATATTTCCTCAGACTCATTTACTTACATTAGGATGAGAGCCGAGCAAGTCGTTACTTTGCTCTCATGCCCAGTGTTAGTATCATGGTCGCGCAATGAGATGTCAGTATGCGCTATATTTTGTGTAAGCAATAAACCCCAAGCAGGATCCCTAAAATCCCTAAAATCCCTAGTGGCTAACAAGCCTCAAAAACACTTCGATTAAAATTTTATATTTCAACGTGGTGGAAGTGTTTTTGATCATTTATTGCCTATATAAACATACAACTTGAAACAGTACAGACACAGAACATTTTTAATCTCTTACTTTTTTATTTGGGGGCTTTATGTTTTTAATATTATTATTTTTGTTTAGTTTATTTTTACTCTTACAACACTGCACACTGCGCACTTAATGGAATGAACTCAATGTTGTGTCGCTTTTAATTGTTCGTTTCTTTAGAGTTTTAATAGGTATTAATGAAAATATGCTAACGAGGGCTAAAATAAACATTACCTTAATGGACATTTGAACGTTTTCAGCTGCCCGACCTTCTGATTAAGCCCATTCAGCGCATTCAAAAGTACCACCTGCTGGTGAAGAAGATCTTGGCTTACTCCGAGAGCGCCAATGCCCCTGAGAGCGTGATATTGGCTCTGCAAGATGCCGTCTTGTGCACTTCCATTATTCCGAAAAACGCCAATGACATGATGGACGTCGGCCGCTTACAGGGCTTTACGGTAAGAACAGATTTTAATACTCTTTCAGAAACAGGTATACATTTCACTGTTAACATTAGAAAACTGTATAGATCCAAAACTAAAAAGGTGTAAGCCAAATAATGACATTAAATAATCTAACTTATTTTATTATTAATAATTAAGATCGTATATTTATATAAATTCATTAATTAATGAATTTCTGTAAATATATGATCCTAACAATTAAACACATTATTATTTTGCATTTAAGTAACTATAATACAACTTTCCCATCCCATCCATCCATCTATTAGATCAAGCAGGGTAATTGTTTGGGTTTTATTATATTGTTGCTCTACTTTTTTATCAGTGTTCTATGTAAAAGTGATTGTGTATATCATTTTGCGTTTATTGCACTAGAATAAACTACATTGGTTTAAGAAACTGCTGATTATCCCCTTTTGTCTGATTTATATGTCAAATTCGTCCTTCATTACATTTGTTTTAAAAAGCCGCTTGCGAAAATTTTATATTTTGTTGTCGATAAATGCAAACAAATAAGTTTATATTTATTTTGTGAATTAAAATAGTTTTTTATTGTAATATTATTAATTTTATTGCCTGCGAAAAAAACTTACAAACCATCCGCTGTTAACTAAATTAAAGCGGAGGTTCATTTGATGGTTTACGGCTGAAGGCTCCGCTAATCCGATTGGATTCTGGGATCCGGTTGGAAATGATTGCGGGCTCGCTAGTATCGGATAGTCAATTTTTTTCGAGCTTGCTAGCGCGCGTTCGTGCATTGCTTCGCGAATCTGAATATTGTGCATCAACGTTTATTTTTGCTTTGCTCGTATGTTAACGAATATTTTCTTTATTTTGGATGTTGTAAGTTCTATCGATAATTATTAAAACTGATACTAAAGGATTATTTTAGAAAGAGGTATTATATGTTTATACGATAAGAAAGTTATTTATGATTTAGGTGGTCAAATACATAAAAACTATGGTTGCCAACCTGCTTGACAAGCGTGGCAACTATGGCAAATACCCTACCCTATGAGGCAATCTATGGGGAGGCCTGTGTTCAGCAGTGGTCTTTAATAGGCCGTAAGAATAATGGCAATATTCAAGTATATAATATAGTAATAGGGGATTAAACGAGCTAGATGTTCATATGATGGTAACGCGTGGGAAATACAACCGTCCACGCTCTTTAATACTAACTTAAAAGAAATTACGTTACAATTGCGTTGTTACTTTGACTTCATTAGAAGACCTCACCTGTAACTATGCTGGCTCTTTTACCGTTCAATGCGAAACAATTTAGTTTATTCTGATCTTTGATGTACGAAATAAAACGAATATAAGAACCTGGCTAGATTCCCTGGACAGCACACACACAACATTCATTCATAGACAACCGCTTCGCGTAATAATAAATGCTAAGTAGTAAGTTTCGAAAACAGGGAATGATGAGAATAATTATCATGTAAATGTTCTCGGTCAGGGCGGCTCCGCAGTAGTTTGCACGACAACCTGGCAAAAGATGCAGGAAGTCTATGAATGCAGGTGATCCAAGACCGTGCCCTGTGGCATTTCTTGGGAGAGGCCTATGTTCACTGCTGAAGGGTATAATGATGATGATGAAAAATATTCTCTTTTGTAACAGTTTAATTCAAACCATATAATAAACGTGGGCACAACGTCATTAATACAACCTGTTGTTCTTATGATATTAGAAATATCCCTTACATAGTTTCACTACTTATTTAATTTTAATCGCAATTTGACGACCACGTGGCCTAGTGGTCTGATATACCTGGCTGCTACGTTCCGGATCCTACTTCCGAACCTTAATCGGAAGTTTGTGCAAGGACACATATTATTGGCTTACAGGCCTAATTGTTCGTCTCTGACGTTACATCCTAGAATCCTTATCATAATGTGTAATGTGTCGCTTCACATAGTTTTCTAAAAGTTGGGAGCTATCGCCGTGGTCTAAATCGCATCGTAAGATAACATATTATTTATAGCACATGCCAAAGTAAACCTTACGTCCAATAATATAGGATCGAATCTCTCATCTGGGATTATTTATTAGGTTCAATAAGGGTCCAAATTTCCATGCGTCATTATACGTGTTTGTATTCCAGGGGAACATAACATCGCAAGGAAAGTTGCTAATGCAAGAGCTTCTCGTGGTATCCGACGCTACCAGCAACGATAAGGGCAAGGAACTGCACGTGTTCTTGTTCGAACAGTGCGTCATCTTCAGCGAGGCCGTCGGCAAAAAGAACCAGTTCACCAGCCCCACATATAACTACAAGGCTCATGTGCAGGTTTGTTGCCTTCTGACTTTATATTTACTCTCAGTTTTTAACTCTTAAATTTAACGTTTTTTATTGGATAAGGGTAACAACGAGAACACAGTCCAACTGATTATAAGTGGTTGCTGTGGCCCATAGACGTCTACATCTATCCTCGATTACGAATCTAAATTTAGATGCTTTGTCAGCCGTAAGGACTAAGATGGAATGCCTCATTTCCAGTAAAAAGGGTTTCTGTTTCTCTACACTCACTATACGAAACACAGCAGCATTAAGCTGCTATTTTACGCTTGCATTCTTAGATGTTGCATGAACCACTTCGCGACTACCATTTTTTTCATTTGAGCTAGTCCCAAACACGCATATATAGTTAGGCTATTTGGTTGACCAGTCGATAGTGAACCCCCTGAAAATACTGCCTTATCGAAGTGGCAGTGTGTGGGCAAGCATCATCTTGTAAGGCGGAAATCTCCGACGAATTTGGCAAAACGACCACCCTGTTCTACCAAAACCTCTTTTAAGTGCCTGGCAGCAGTTTAGACTATGTTAATTGAGAATAACTTGGTCGTTGCTTCGTAAGAGAAACCAGGCCTTACCATTACAAAGCCACCACAATACGAGTATGCCACAGTTTCATGTCAACTTGGCACATTGCGCATATCTTTTTACAGGTACAAAAAAAAATACGGTTACGACCATCAGCGCTAAAGTTGGGCGTTATAACATACAACAGATAATATATTTCATTGTATAATTGTAATCTTACAACACATTAGAATAATCAACCATTGACTGTTATAATATTATATTCATTATAGTTAGAAAGCGCCATCTAACAAAAGTAACAGTAACAACTATTTGTGATTTGCGTGTGCGCTAACTAGTTTACGCTCTAGCTGTCAACCTACATACTACATTCATTATGCCACGAGGATTGCGTACAGTTCACACTAATTTAAACTCTTAGACAACATTATAAGAGCTTATTTTACTAACACAAAAGTATAACGATAAATAAATATATTTGCTTGTATTTCGTTCATTGCTAGCTGTTGTGCCTGTTGTTTAATTTTTTGGCTGTTATAATATAAAAGACCTGCGCATGCATTTGGAGTTCAATTGCCTGTATGCTGTCAAATCTGTTGAAAACTGCAGCCTCATTTCCTGTCTTAACAGCCATGAGATTAAGAGTGTGATCGGAGAGTTTTTGTGTTCTTTTGCGGCGGGTCTTGCAGAACTTAGCTCCTACCGCATGGACAGTTTCCACGAGCTTGTCATTCATATCGTCCACTTCATTGCAGTCTTATAGGTACTGAAAACGGTTTTGTAATTCGAAGTGAAAGGTTTCGGGACTTCGGATTAGATTAGCAGGAGGGAGACGGAGCGTTGGATTCATTAGACGAGACCTCTCTAACTTAACGTTTAGGTTCAGTGTGCATCTAACCATTCGGTGATCGCTAGTCGCTACCAATTTTCACCCTCGCGATCACTGAACAGTTATCGTCTTGTCGTCATAATGAAGTCAATCTCATTTTTTGTCGAACCGTCTGGGCTCGACGAGGTCCACTTCCTGTGATGTTCTGGAAGAAAGAGTTCATCAAAAAGACCCTCTTTCTCCATGAAATCGGACAGCTGTTGGCCCCTTGGATTCCTTTGCCCTATTCCAAATTTCCCTACTTTCAGCTCACCGTACTCTTGTACCTAGTTTTGCGTTGAAGTCTCCCATTAACACCGTATAGTGGGTTTTGGAGGAATGCATGGATTTAGAGATATCCTCATACATTTTCTCCCCCTCCTTATCGGGATGTACCGACTACCGAGGTTGGTGCGTAAACCTGTAGGACCTTCAACGAATATCGTTTGGTGATTCTGAGTATAAGGTACGCAAACCTCGTCGATACATTCCCAATCATTACAACGTTGTTAACGAGAAACTTGTGGACGATAAATCCGACACCTCCTTGGGACAGATGGTCGCCTTCCCGGTGATAGAACAAGTTGCCGGTTTGGAGGATTACCGTGTCTTTCCCCTCTCTTCGGACCTCGGATAATCCTATAATATTATGCCAACATAACTTGTCTATCTCTTCTTCCTCCACCGCAGATTCTCAGCACCCCCTGCCCCGCGGTGTCCTTGGTTGCCACCGTAGCAAGGAATAGCGAGGCCGCTGGGGACTTGGGGCCGTCTGTTCGTGACTTTCATTTTATGGGGGGATATTTGCCATAGTTGCCACGCTTCGCAAGCGGGTTGGCAACCGCAGTTTTTTATTGTAATTTTGCTGTTATCAGGAAGATGCTGCTGCCCATCTCCTGCCTGTTTCCCACTGTCGCCTCTTACGACACCCACGGGAAGATATGGGGTAGTGGAGTTAACCGCCACTACACGGCTACTTTCGTTCGCCAGTAAAAATATAATTAATTTTATTTCAGTACCAAAAATTACGCATTTTTGGAGTCGCTCTTTACCTCCGGTCTAGATACTTTAGATATTAATGTCATACACGAAGTAGTTATCTTTCAGAGGCTATAACATTCGGTTTTTTATATGCTTTTAAAAAATAGCTTATGACACGCATTGCTTGAGTGAGGTGATAGATCCGCTTATGCCGCTGGTCTGAATGTTTTAACGAATGAAATGGCCGAATGGTTTTGATTGGCCCCTTTTCGGATACTGCACCCAATTAATATAAAAGAGTGACCCCGTGACTCGTGATTTTACGGGCATTACACCGTCAACGTTTTAGTTTTATCTCGTAAGCGCCTCCAGGTTTGTACGTCGTTATCATCATTAGTATCATATCTTTCCACGTAAAAAAAATCTTAGGTGTTTGCTGCGCTTCTTGTTTTTGTCCGCCGATTTATACACGATTTCCGAGAACAATTTTCATAATGAGCTCTTACGTGTAACATATTAATTTCTTCGACTACATAATTTATATATTTGACAATAAGGTTTCATAAGTAACGACAAATGTTTCTTATTTTATAAAAAGACTGGCTTTTGCCCGCTTTAAACCATAGGTGATCCATCAAAGCTCACACTTTCATAGTTAATTTTGAACACTGATTTGCCACAAGTGAAAACTGCCACACATAATTCTGAGTGTTGTTTTTTTTTATAGGATAGGGTGACAAACGAGCACACAGTCCACCTGATGGTAAGTGGCTGTGACCCATTGACATGTACACCTATCCTCAATAAAGAATCAAAATACAGATGGGTTCCCGTAAGGACTAAGATGGAATGCTTCATCGTTTTCAGTTAAAAGGTCTCCGGTTCTCTACACTCACCATACGAAACACACAGCAGGGTTAAGCTGCGATTTTACGCTGGTATTCTGTGAGAGCGTGGTCCTTTCCCGGTCGAGCCGACGCATTCGTGCTACGACTATAGTACTAATATAGCTACAGCATAGCTCTAACACGTAAAAACTAATACTACAAAATAAACACGTATAAACGTGTATTATAATATGTGGTAAACTTAAATTCATTCTTGAAGTCAAATCCTATTATTTTTACTAAAAACCCTGATGGAAAAGTTGCCACAAAGTAAGGTTAATTTTGCCATTTTCTATTTTTGAGTATTTTGTCTATTTAATGTTAGTATTGTTTATATACACTATTTATATACCAAATCTATGAAGAGTATATTGCCATATTTAACCAAATTTTTTTGTGGGAAAATGATCCCAGATTTTTTAAGTCACGCCCTGTGTTGCCGAATGCTAAATAATTCCAGCTCTTAATGTCCATTTATAAACAAAGGTGCTGCTTAATACCACCACTTCTCTGGTATAAATAATGATGTCTTCTTGGTCCCACGTCAACTTCTGAATACAGACGCCATCATCTTCACCATCATCATCTGTTAAACATAGGCGTAGTCCATAATTACCCCATAGAGGAAATTTCTCCTATAGTTGCCACTTCAGGCAGGCAGGTTGGCAACCGCTCTTTTTATTGGTTTCAATTGTTAAAGTGACCTTCGATTGTCAGCGGAGCTGATCTAGAGTTGTCTGTGTCTCTAATTCTAGAGGAACAAAGTGTACTCACCTTCTACCGTCCGTGTCGAGTGCTTTCACGATTGTTGAAATCATCACTGCCGAATGTCTATCCGTGCACTATAAACTCACTGGGACTGTCGCAATTAACTTTCACAGACATAAATGTGATATTTGGGAAATAGTTTGTGTGTTTGAACACAAACACACACACATGCACACACAGAGAGAGAGAGAGAGAGAGAGAGAGATTGAAATAGAAATGTTGCACCGCTGCCGATCAACCGATGAATAGAATGGTGGGGGCGAATGATATGGGGCGAAAATCAATTCATGTATCCGATTGAAGCCTTCGTCTACAAGACCGCAAAACCAGTCAAAACATCAATTATTATCAGAAAGATGCTGCTTCCCCTGTTCATTTCCCTCTGTGGCCTCTTACGATTATATGGGGTAATGGATTCTCTTACAAATCGCCACCACGTGACAATATATTATAATAGGACCATAATCGTAGTTAGGTTAGGTTGCTATCTTAGAGATTTTCAGGCCGGTATTCAGAGATCACCTCGAGCTTAGACTCCACGTTGTCCAAAATTGAGCCTAGACCATACTATGGTCGCATAGTAAACTAAAAAAATGACTTTCAAGTAGAATTACATGTAATCTATATTGAATAAAAAATTATTCTGATCTATTGTATTCCTATTCTATTCTTTTCCATTCTATGTTTTGAAAACGGAACCAACAGGCAACCCGGCCTGAAATACAACAATTTGTTTTTTGAATAATTATTATATGTCGCTTGGATTGGAAGCTATTCAGAATAACTGCACCGCGTATTTAACTATTTTCGTACGAATTTTCATCGAAATAATATATTATTTAGAGCCGCATATGCCACGCGTTTCACGTCAAAAACTTCACGTATTAGGGGTTTTTAAAGAGCGATGTCATAATGATGTGAGCAGATTATTTGCAGAAAATTAAGGTTTTCGAAAGATGAAGACTATATTTAGTGCGCTATCGAGGAATATCATAGTTTTTAATTACTAATTTTTAGAGCGAAGACAATCTCTCCATAGTGTTTTACAAAAATATGCGTCAGTTACCTTTCCGGTCGAATACAACCATTATCAAAAGCTAAAATATTTTAGGTGTTATTATAACGGACTATAGTCTTGAAGTGCAACACAATGCCTAAATTACGAAAATATTTTGATTTAATATTAAAAAACAATACTATAAAATCACCAAAACTGTCCACTTCAATGTCATTTTCTTTTCGTTTATTTCAATATAAACATATCTGTTTTAATTATTTTATTAAAATATAGGTAATGTTGAAAATCAAAAATAAATTACAGCTCGCTTTATTTAGTCAATTATTTTATATGATTACTTAAAATTACTACAAATCAGTACGCTCCGGTTTCCCCCAGCGATGGGACGTATCACTTTTTCTCACTTGACCTCGTGCAGTTAGGACACCCGCGATCATCAAAGCAGTGAGGGCGCGAATCCAACGAAATCCTGTTCGGAAACAAAAAATCTTAGCTTAGATGGGCTTAAGCAAACGTCGGTCAAAAGAGTGATCAATGAAGACATAGGACTACGAGCTTATCGTAAGAAGACCGGACATTTTTTGAACGAGTGTTTGAAAAAAATTAGGCTGGATAGATCCCGCACTTTGTTACGGCGGTACGCGGGAAAAAAGTTCCGCGAAATTTTGTTTTCAGATGAAAAAATTTTAATATAGAAGAAAGTTATAATAAACAAAATGATAAGGTGAATGCCCAGAGCAGTGAAGAAGCCAGCACGCGAATTCCGAGGGTTCAACGAGGACATTATCCTTCGTCACTCATGATTTGGCTTTTAGTCTCATATTTAGGCTTAACTGAAGCGTTTTTCTGTGAAAAAGGTGTAAAAACCAGTGCCGAGGTGTACCAAAATACCGTCCTGACAAACATAGTGGAATCTCTTTCTCAAACAATGTCCAAAAACAGATATTGGATATTCCAACAGGACTGCACCAGCTCATAGGGCACGGAAGCACGCAAAACTGGTTGACCGCCCGTGGAATTGACTTTATCGGACATGAAGACTGGCCCTCTTCTAGCCCAGATTTAAACCCACTGGATTACAAGATATGGCTACATTTGAAGAAGAAAGTGTGCGCTAAACCTCATCAGAATTTGTAATCTTTCCGAGATATGAATGTGGTGCGTGCTTCGATTGATGATTGGCCGCGTCGATTAAGGGCATGTATTTTGAATACATGCCCTTATAGGGGAGGGCATTTTAATAATGTAAATAAAATTGTATTCTAAATTAAATTACCTTTTATTTCATATATAATTTCTATATAATTATCAAAAAGTGTATCATTAATTTTATAAAAAGTTTATGACAGAACTTATGACCTGACTAAGTATATTAATCTTACCCCTTTCTAGTTGTTACCTTGACCTTGTGACATTCCTTAGTCTATTAAGTAGGTTAATAGTAAAGGCGACTACAATTTACTAAAACAATAAAATAGTTTCCACATATTAGCTTCCGATATCGGGGCTAGATCCGATATAAATTCTTTACACTGTCTTAGCACCGACCTCATAAGCCATTATGTGGAAATTATTTTATCCTTTTAAGGCGACACCGCGAAAAAATGCACCTTCTTTCATCGAATAGTATAGGAGTATGACACGACTAACGAAACTGGAATTTTGATATAGGTAAATTCATGTCTTTATCTTGAATTTGCTTGCTCAAAAACACGATTGTGTAATTTTTAATCGATCATAATTATTTGCGAAAACACCTCTAAAAAATCATTATAGTTGAAATTACAACGAAATTACTTAGTCTGTATGCTTGGAAACCGCTCAAATACATTCATAACATCAATATTCGTAATTTACTTGCTCATTATTTTGATTACTAAAATCAGTAATTTTTAAAAAATATTTTAAGATTCTAGGCGATTTCTAAGCGGTCTTAATCGTCGCGGGCGCTACGCAATTTTATACCTTATAACGTCGTTTTTGAAGTTTTTATAGAAATTATGTTTCATTCAGGTCAGTCCGGCGATAGACCGCTTCAACGGTTTTCGAAGTGTCGCCTTAATGCTAATAGTATCAAAATGATTCGCGCAACTAAGGGCAACTAGTCTTGCATTCGAACTGTCACGCACACAAAAATAAAATGGTAGTGTGCGTCAATATTACACCGTTCCAGAACGATCGCGTAGATTTTCACTTGCGTATATTTGAATATACGCTCTTAAATAAAAGTTATTTCATCTAATTTATCACGTTTAATCTTAACCTTTATTTAGTTCTAGACGTTTTTCCATTGACATTTATTCTTGATTGAGAATCAAAATGCCTTCACCCCTTGAAACTATGATGGAATTACTCGTATCCAGTAAAATTGTCTCCGGTTGTCTACACTCACCATGCGAAGCACAGCAGCATTGAACTGCTATTTTACGCTAGTAAATAAGTCCCCGGTCGAGCTACCGATGCTACAACTATAATATAGATGCAGCATCACGTGTATAATGCAAAACAGGTGGCAACATTGAAATTATTTAAAATGCAATGCGGTAAAATAATTTTTAAATTAGAGTGAATGTAAGAAATTAAAATTAAATAATTAACAATAGGCCGTGAATTTTACAAATATTGTGTACAACAGGTCAACAAAATGGAACTGGAGGAGCTGGAGAACAACGGTGCATTCATCATTCACTCGGTGGATCCAAACAAGCCGAAGCAATCGTTCTTGTGCCGCGCCCCTGAGGCCCGTCGCGCTCAGTGGACCACAACTTTGTCTACCATACTACGTTCCCAACGTATATTCGGCGAGGCCTTGGAGAATCCAGGAGCTTATCTACGGGAACTACATCGAGATCAGGCGCGCGATCCCGCTGCGTAAGTATAAGGTCTTACGGGAATACGGGTGTCGGTACATAATGGCATTACGCTCTTTTTTTTTCTTTCAGTTTTCTTATATGTCAAGTAAGCTATAATGTTTTCCGCAATATTGGTAGCATTGATTTCATGGTTTTATTTTCGTCAATATGTAGAGTTTTTATATGAATGTAGGTGTTTCTTTAATCAATGAAAACATTTTTAACATAAAACATTATTAAAGCTTGGGCATCTCATCTAAATTTAAGGGATTGAAACTTGATTATGTTGTGTCTCATTATTATGGTCTTATGCCGTTACCTACCGTCACTTTTGCATCAATAAGGACAGCTTCTGAATTATATATAAGCAATTATTTGCTTGTCCTAACGTTGTATCAAAGTGCTTAATAGCTTGTTGATATCATGAGCAAAGTATTTTTATCAGTATCTATATTCATGATACAAGATTGGACATTATTGACAAATTCGTACATTACATAATATTATTTTGCTCGCGATATATCGAGATAATCGATCAGCAATTTGTTATAATTAACATAAGAGCACTACTCGTCAGAATACTAACTAATAATTGCACAAGACTGAGAATTCTTCTTTCGAACTGCTCTTAGAAAGAAAAATGTTATTATTATGTTAACCATGTCCTGACGAGTTTTGCTAAAGAGTTGCTATATTAACATCTGCTAAAATCAGAACATGTAAATACGGTAGTTGACAGTCTTATTGATTGAAATATTTTTACGAGCTGTCTAAATTAAACTTAAGTAAAGGATTAAGAAATTGTATGTCATGTAGTCAAATTATTGTTATAGTCAAATAAACATATTTTTTGTACATTATGAATGTTAACAAACTAATTTAACGTAAAATGAAATACCGGTCCGACTTTGAACAATTTAAAAAATTTCAATTTTATCTTTCAATTTAATGTAGTAATTCGTTAATAATGGTGTCAACTACCACCACCCTGGCAAGTGTTTATGTATAACGTTAGCGTAACAGCTTAGTGAACCTTTCTGCAAACCTAGCGCACGGTAATAGAAACAAAGCACATTATTTAATATAATTTATATTGCAGGTTTAAGTTTTTACGTCTGTAATCACGCGCGCAGATTGAAGACTATACAAAACCCCATCAGGACGATACAAAATGTCTCGGCGTATTTTTATTTCATTCTTTTAACGTTCTGATATTCTTTGCTCTGTGCGCTTGTTCTAACTAAACTAACACCTGTAATTGGCCCCTTTTTAACACGAACAAAATTCACGTTTGTTAGTTAGAGACAAGTGAATTTATTGAAATTGTTATATTACTATTATGTGTTAACAATTTATGAAGTTTATCTATCATTTGTAATTAATATAGTATACATATTTGGTATAACAATTATTTGCCGAGAACACAACAATACAATAACAACAAAAATATGAGCGGTCGTAACATCCAACTAAAGAGAAATTATCTGTACTCTGTAAGTGTTGACACATACCCATACGACAGGCCGAAAGGGATAGTGTTAAATATACACACATATAATAAAGAACAAACGCGGAGAAAAAACTCGTAAGTGATGACAATCAATAAAGTAGTACAAATTAACTACTACAAAGAGCCTTCCAGCTCGCTCTGATACATTTTACACATCGTGCGATATCATCTAGCGGACCTCAGAGATATACATGTATGTACTTGCACTAAAATAACATGAATAATATAATTTTTATTGTGCGTAAGCTTGTGCCATTGAGATCAACATTGTACTGCCATGCCAATTGCCTCCCACAACTTTAGCCTTATTGTTAAATTTAGTCATTTAATAATTTATAGTGAGAGATGTTCGGAATTGATAGCATAGGTTACGATTTTAAATATACACTTACACGCACATTATTTGACCAAATTTTTAGACTAATTTGTGTGATGAGAGAAACAGTTCCATAAGATCCCCATAATTAAAATTATATTTTCTAAATAGCAATAATTTTCATGTGCGCTTCCGAACACCCTGCGTCTCGCCGTTAATGTTGTTTCAAGCAATATTTCACTTGGTTCGGGAGTTAGTTAAAATCGAATTCATAGTAACTAGTTAAAATGGAGAGCATAACGAGCTTTGTAAGCATCCTTACCAAGAATTAAATCAGATGGATTTTATGACATAAGCATGAGTGACGTGACTTGAATGATGTGCTGTGTTGACAGACGTTAAGTTAAGGATAGAATTTAATAAACTCATTTACGTAATAATAATTCATAATTATATTCACATAAAACCTACTCATATAACCGATCACATTAATAAGTGTTTAGGATATTATTGGTGTTTTAACTATTATTACCATTACATTCGTAATTCATCAATTTATCTATGAACTCATTATATCCAAATATAATATTTAATGTCAACAATTAATCAATGCATATTGTTAGGGCTATATTTCGCATTAAGAAGGAATCGAAGAAGACTGGACTGATCGGAATGATTGCAAAGAAAGATAATCGTGGAACGAGTCGGAGTACAATATAATGCATGTTAGGATAACTTTTCAATAATTCACATTATTATAGCATTATCTGATCTCAGATAGCGTTACTCTTAATATGTATGGATTTTATTTATACGGGGTTTTCAGCTTTCACACAGATTTCTTATAGTTGTATATAGTTTGTTTTAAGGTAGTATCATCGAAGATGTCTATCGTTAATTTAGTGTTAACTGAATCGTTTCCTTATAATCGTTTTGTCGATCCTCATATTTTCATTAGTATAGTCTCACACATATCTTATGTCTCTAGTGTAAGGGCGCATATAATAAAGCCATCGACTTTCTATTATTGTAAGTGGTGTTTGTCAAACTTTGATTTAAGCTTGGATGTAGATAGATCCTTTGGGCCCGACCGCCGAGGCCCCTAGGGCTTCACGACGGTCGGATCCCGAGAGGTCAGCTTAAATCGGGGGATTAATGATACATAACTCGATAACACCTCACACAGAATAGTTGTATTATAGTGTTAGTACTCATTGTATTCCTGGTAATCTTAGTTTAATTTGCACATGTCTTTATATCTTATCGAAAATTATTGTGTATTATCTTCTCGCAATATTATGTCGACGTTACCCTTGGTTTTCTTTTTATTTACGGGACCAATTTAGTTTGCGGCTATTGTATTTTAAGACATTCGACATGCTTGATCATAACGCTGATGTTGCGACTTGTGTAATTTACTGTCATTACATAGCTTACTTGAATGTTGGTACGCAAAGACAACTCGAATTATGTATCTGTTTAAGTGGGTGTAACATCGAACAGATGGCCAGCTGTTTTTGTGTATTAATAACGCTTTCGTTTACACGGCTTTTAGCGTGTAACATAATGTATGTATTAAGCTGCGGTCCAGAAGATTTTGTTAAAATTATATTGTGATAGGTATATTTAGACGTAAATACTTGCTTTTTAGGCTTATTATTTACGTAGCTCATATTATTATATTTGGAGCATACATGAATATCACCAAATTGTACTTTGGTAAATAACTGACAAGAGCACCACAGACGGATATAGGTCAGTCTTATTTTGTTAATATATTTTTTTTAAATATTGACTAGGTTCTACGTAAATAAAGTAAATATGGTTTCAAAATATGTAATCGTTTGTATCTTTCTCTTAGTATTGTTTATTTTCTTAATAAAATGTGAGTATATTTCTATATAAATATATTGTTTACTAATATTATTAAAATATCTTTTTCAAATATACCCAGTTATACCTTTTAGATCAATTTGATTTTGAGCGCAAACAAATCGTATTATTTCACATTTACATGTGTGACGGTTGAAATACCACGTAGGTACTTTTTTATGTACTATCTATACGCTACATTTGGTATGTTATTCAGTAAATTGCACTAACGGTTACATTTGTCGAAATTTCGAATTATGTGCGAAATTTACGTGGATATTTTCTAATAATGTCCAGTCAATATTTCTTGCTAATATGGTTGAAGGATAAACCTAGTTAATGGTTCGCAGATATTGCGAAATTTCAACGTGTAACTGTTAGTTTAAAAAAAAGATACTTATTCGGTGAGACGGTTTTTAATATTAACTGTTTTTAGACAGTGTGTCAGACACGACAACACTTTGTTTTTTTTTTGTTTGTCAAACCGATGTACCGATGAGCAAAACTCGGCAGATTGACGATTATTCATGCGAAATTTAACGCTTTGTAGCCGCAAATAACTGTTTTATTAACGCCAAAAGTTTTATTATTAAATTATGGAGATTAGATAGTTCGTTAGGTACCTATTACTATTAACACTTGATTATCCTTATAGAATAGACATCGATGTATAACGTTTTATATTCTTATAATGTCAAGAGCATTTTAATCTTTCTAAAAGATATTTTAGACCAATGCGATTAAGTTATTTAAACGAATGTATTTTGACTATGCTCCTACTAATTGTTTAATTTTGTACATAGTTATATGTGAATCTCTCATACCTTTGTGTATATATAATAAGTTAACCTTTAACTATCACTGTAATACTCGAATATATGTTAAATGAGTAACCAATAAATGTGAATCAAAAACGCTTTTGATTTACTGCTTTTAGTCCCGCATGCTTTTTACACGTTTTGTTTGTTTGTTACGTTTACTGTTTTGTTCATCGGGGCCGGCTTCAAGCTACTAACAAAGCTTCATAAGAATTAGCTTCACAGTACTAACACAAATGCTTTATTGGTAATTAAATCAACTAAATTTATAGATCTCATAGATTAATCTTAAACTACACGAAACTAGTCTAACGATGGTGTATTTGACTACAAGATGCAATGGAATGATTTGTCTAGGATCTAGGTGAATCTATTTCCTAAAAAAAACACTAAGTACCTTACAATTATTACAGAAATTAATATTAAACGCACAAAAGCATTTTGTAACCTTTGTATCCGTTTCTTCAATGCTGCAAATAAATTTTCACAGACAATACCTAAATTCGTATTTTTTACAATAGTCAAACACTCCATTCGACGGTAAAGCTGGCGAACCCGTTTTTCCCCTTTTTTATTTTTTTGTTTTAATTGGTCCTATTCCCGTCCCGATAGCGTGGGTGAGGGTTGGAGTGGACTACGTAAGACGGAGAGTGTGCCTCCGTGTTTGGGGGGGCGCTTGGCCCCTGAACTCCGAGGGCGATCGCAGCGCCCCCACACTAAGGCCAACACTATCAATCTGCCCACCGGCACTGTACGCAGCGATGACCGCAAGAAGACGCCCAGTGCGGCAGTGAGCCCTACTTCGCCGCCGCACGCTAACGTAAGTTGTGATCCAAACGACTGAAAGTTACAGGTCACAGAATATAAATAAAATGTTATGCCGTATATACTTTATTTAAACTCTTTGCTTGGTGCTCTTACAATAAGCCAACGGTTTTATTCATTACAGATTACAAAGATATTACAGGTCAATAAAACATAAAATGTTAACGGGTAAGGAGACCAACCGTTTCAGATTCTGCTTTCCAGTAACACAAAAGGTCATGCTGCGTTCCGCATGCCCAGTGTTCCTTACCAAATTATGCTCTAAACAAAAATATTTTATTTAAAGATAAAAAACATACTGCTTATTTCAAAATTTTATCTCCGTATATAAATCCTTTTTAACAACAAATTTAAAAAAAATACCAATCATGTGAGACTTCAATAAATTTATTGGCCACCTTACTTTTGTGCGTTACAGTAATCATAATAATAATTAATTTCGGACCATGATCCATATGGGTTAGTAAGTAATTTATAAACTAAAATCTGTTAGTCATTAACTAATTACAATGAAATTAATTCATATACCTCTGCCCACTTCCCACTGCGCCAGACCCGCAGCAGTGCATACGTGTCCAGTGCTGCAGGAACGGCAGTCTCGTTTCTTCACAATAACTCTCAGGATGCTGTTGGTGCTCCCCCAAAGTCTGCGCATCGGGGATGCTGTTCTCTTTCGCGAAATAGCTTGAAAGCTGTCCGTTACCGCATCAGCAGACACGCCTGACGCACTACAGAATCGTTGAAGCCCCAAAAGCACCCCAAATGCATTATTGATGCGTATGTCTAATCCACATGAAACGGTATATATAAATATTATTTTTGGAGAACACCTTAAGTGTTTTCTTTATATTTTTAACCATATTTTAATAATTGCTCCATCAACTGAATTATGTATGGTATATTAAATACATCGTAGGAAGAAAAAATTAGAGATCAAAACCTTTCAATTTCAGCATTCAATAGTAATTGCGAATTTGGTTTATGTTTATATCTCAAATACAGGACGTACATTAGTCTAAGTGATTAACCTATGTAAATAATTTCGACCGACTCCAAAGGCTACTACTACTTGTAATATTATTATCTAATAATATATAGTTTATTCAAAAACACAAAATGCATGTTGCTTAAGAATTACTGATGAGAATATCAATGTAAACATAAATAAAACAGCATCCTTTGTCTTGTTACATTTGATAAACACGTTAGAACTAAATTATATTACAACGCATAGGTAAGCTTTACCTATGCGTTGTGATAATTGAATAAAAATAGAAATGATATAAAAATAACTTAAATAATTATAGAGACAACTGTTTGTAAAAGTATTTTGCTAAAAAATTATGTGTTTTGATAATTTTATAAACTGTTCTCTTACAAATCAAAATGTAGTATTAAACGGTACTAAAGTGGGGGAATCTTCATTACGGCATGCTCCTTATTATAAAACTCATTTTTAAACAATTAAGAAGTAAGTAATGCCAAGTGTAGTTTATAAGAGGGTATTCTCAAATAAGACATGAAACTGCTCGTACTGCCTTGATAATGTTCTCGATCGTGACGTGTTCGAATTAGTTAAAATAAAAGAAATATCCCTTGCGTAGTTTTTAAACTCATATTTTAACGGAATAAGGACGATATTTGATGATAATCAGCTGAGAATGCTCGAGCAGTGCTTCGCCTTATTTGATCTGGCTCAGTTGGATTGAAGGCGTGTATTCTTTTACTACTAATTATAAAGAAGTTCTAAATGAGACTACATAACATTATTAGTATTCTTAGAAAATTGGGTTTGAAATGTACAAAAGAGATATTTATGGTAAAATTAATTAAATTAAATCACTAAACTTACACCAAAAATACATTTGGTTTCTAAGAATTTATTAAAATAAAATAGTTTTTGTTATTATTTATTATTCTTTCTAAACATATTGAGATCATCAGGAATTCGTAAACATACGACTATCTCGATTAATCTACAAGTTAACTATAATATTATAGCGATACGACCATTTGATGATGATGAAGTTGCAATACTAATTACATATTATATAAAAATAATAAAATATGTTGTGTTCATTTACAAAAAAAAATCTTGTGACAAGTTCATTATTTGCATACAATTTTAATTTAAAAAATTGTAATCGTACTCCATGTCTTACATGACCCTTAAGGGGACTACAGGACCTAAACTCAAGTTTTATGATACCTAAAAGTATATGAGCCACAGCAATAAACAAGATTAGAAAAATATATGACGTTTTTCAGGACATATGTAGAAATCACGATACTACTAATTTGATACAATAGAAAAAAATCACAAAGATACCTCTAAAATTTTCTTTTATCGATTAAAAACCATACGAATATGATTTTTGTCAAATTATTCTACAAGCAACATATTAACGTAATAGTGTTTTAATTTTTAATCCAATCAATAGATTTTTTTTTAAATCGCATGTTCTTATTTCTGAACATAGTACCAACGAACGAACGTACGAAAAAGCTTATGGGGAAAAATGCCAAACATTTAGTATAATGTTCACGCAAGAAATATAAGTGTGAAGATAGTACAGCGTTAAGTGCAATGATTCACATCTACATGGTTTAATATGAGCTGAGTAGCAACACGTATTACGACGTGTTGCTACTCAGCGTGTTATCAGATTTCGTTTCGATTTAACTTGAAAATTCATTAATCATATAATACACACAACTCGAACTCTATATTGACTTAAATATTTTAATAATCCTATACAGTACACTTATATTGAATAAACTTGTGTGGTTAGTATAAAAAATTGGCACGAGTTTCGAGCGTTGGCATTTATCGTTTTAACTAATTACGCAATTAACTGAAAAGGGTATCATTTATGGTGCTTGCATCTACCCCTGACTACTGAATAAACAACACACCAATCTTGCCGCGGTACTGGCACAATCACTACGCTTTACCTGTATCACCGACAGATTGCGCAAGTGTTGCCGATTGTTATATTTTAGCTGCTGCTTTACAACTTGACAACCTCTTTATTTGTTACTTTTAATGTTTGATACACATTTGAATAGTATAATTGAATTTTATAACGTTACTCTTTATAATTTATACTATAACATGTATGTCATTTTTACCAATAAGAAATCATACTTATTTTATCCAAAAGGTCTATATATTTTTCGATTTTCTTTTTTGAAGCATGCTTTAAATATTATTTGCTTTTTACTCTTTTTCAGTAGCCATTATATCACATTATAGCTCAATTTCATCACGTTAATTTTCAAAAAATACTCTTCTCTATCCTGTTTTGCATGTTATTTTAATTTAACGCTTTTCTATATTTCTTTTGTTGTAGGTATGATATACACGGGCATGCATTTCTAACATAGACTGTGATAGCGGGCAGATTCAGACTCACGCGCCAGACTCCAATGTGCAGTGTGTTTCGGAATGACCGCCAAAGACGAGTTTAAGTTTATTTATTGTAAATAGTTTAGTTAACGAGTGGACGGCGGTGGTTTATTAAGGAGAATCGGGGCGTGCATGCAATGCTTGGCAGTTTCACTTATGCGTTTTCGCGAAGTCATCAATGTGTGTGGCCCGCAGGGGTTATCGAAGCGAGCGTGGGGCTTGAAGTTGCGGCGGGGTGGCAGTAGTGGCAGTGGCGGCAGCGGTGGGGGGGAACCGAGCGCGGACGGGTTGGTCACTGAGCTCCGTCCACCGGAGCTCCTTGAGCCGGCGGTGGACGTGACCGCAGCGCCCGGCTCTAGCGCGACCATATCATGCCGCGCGAACGCGACCCGAGCTACCGCCTCCTGGAGGAAGACCGCACCAGAGACCAGAGCGCTGAGACACGGGGGGCGTTTCGCTATCTCGCTCGCACCTGACGGTCTCGCGTCGCTAACAATACACGCGTGCCGCGCGTCTGACGCAGGCGTGTACTGTTGCCTCGTGAGCAACGAACTTGGCGGGGTACAGAGCTCGGCCCGACTCACGGTGGGCGCGGGAGGGACGCCAGGAGTGCCGACTGTCCGCGCGCACCCCGGCGGAGGACTGGTGGTCCAGTGGGATGAGTCTGCGCCAGTTCATCTTGAATACTGCCGCGTAGGCGAGGGGGAGTGGCGACGCGCAACGGAGACCCCCGCTGCGGCCAGCACACTCGCACTAGAAGAACTTCCTGCCGGACAATACAGTTTCAGGTTAGAATGCAATATAGTAATAAATTATTATATAATTGACTACAGACTATGATAACTTAGGCAGTAATTCACAATCCTTAAAATATAATTAAAAATCTTAAATAAACAACAGCTCGATTGCTAACTATACATAATCGTAAGCAAGTCTTAGATAAAATTAAACACATATAATCTTTAAAATGTAATGAATGCCTGTGGATATCTATTTTAACATTTTAATTCTTCTTCATATTGTAAGAAAAGAGTAAAGTTGTTGTGCCCACAAGTGGAAATCCTAAGGAGTCTAATTTACGAATTCCACTTGTGGGCACAAGTTTGCTATCATTCTTAAAACATTTCTAAAAAAAATTAGAATTGTCAAGCAACCGCTGCGCTATTCGTGTTAGTGGACCTCCATGTCTTAAAAATATTTAAATTTCCTGGGCATTCAGATTTCCCTTTATTTTAAATTTTGTGTGAAAAAAATGTTTTGCCGACATTTTGTCAAGCACATTTAAATCGGCAATTGCTAGCTTTGTAATTTCAAGCAAACGCTTCCACGGCTTCATCACTTAACTGTCTTAAAAAATTAAAAATAAAATCTACTAATCTATTTCATTCGAGTAATAATTTTGTAACGTTAACCTATAAAGAAAGATAACCTATTTCCACATCATTTTAAACGCTTTTAGAAACAGGAAATTATTTGGAAGCCAAAAATAATGCGTTTATTCATCAATTCAGTCTTTTTGAGTTCTGTGTAGTGAGTAATGAACATAGCCGTGCCGTGGTAGCTCAGAAGAGCCGTGGTAGTTCAGATGGTTAGCGCTCGCTGTAAGCTTCACAGTACTCGAGCAACCCGGGTTCGATCCCCACCGGCACCAATAAAATTGTTAATTGCAATTTTAAGTACTGATTTACCGCGTGCTCGGCGGTGAAGGAAAACATCGTGAGGAAACCTGCATGTCTGAGAAATAAGAAAAATAAATATTTCGAAGACATGTGAAGTTAGCCAACACGCACTGGGGCAGCGCAGCGGACATTTTCTTGACCTAAAACCCTCTCAGAAATGAGAGGAAGCCTGTTCCCAGCAGTGGGACGTAAATAGGCTACAATTTTAAATTTTTAATGAACATAGAATTTTCTAAGTATGTGCAAACTGGCATTCTTTGATAAATTGCCCGTAATAAATTATTACTTAATATGTGAGTTGCAGAAAAAATAGTAATAATAGCATTTATGGGTAGACAGACGGAATCGTATTTAAAGTCATATGTATTTACTTGTTATAATTAAATATTTCAAATACCAAAAGACAATTTCAAAGAACTAACAAAAATATAAAGATCGAAATTGGTTAATGTAATGAAGAATTATTTCATGTATGTATCTTTGTAAATTGACGTTCGACATATTTTTTATGGAACCTTTGATCAGATCTTGACAAAATTTATATGAGACAACATTTTTGAGGCAGTCTGACAATACGTATTGGTGAGTAGCATGGCGGATATTTCCTTGCCTTAAAATTCGAAGTAATGAGATTTTGAAGACAATTTCCTTAGGAGTAGAGAGGAGCGGGACGTATATACCACTCCTAAGGAAAAAGAACATTAGAAAAAAAATTAACATTTGATTGATACGAATTGTGAACTCCGTTTTTTATTTGTAATTGTTTGAAACACGCTAACGAGGTGGTATACGCATCGGCACGAGTCCTGAGCACAGCCTTGATAATATGTGCAATAGGTTTCTGGTGAAGTACAGGGCGTGGCGTAAGTACGGGTGAACACTCTTTCACGCGATTGGTCCGTTAGTCAATTTTCGTCATACATTAGATATTCACGTGTCATTAACGTGCATTATATTAGCTGGTTAATGTACATGTGTGGTGTAATTATGTGGTTACGATTCGCACAATATAGGTGTGTTAATTGTCTATATAGTTTTCTTATCTGGTTGGGCTGTATAAATATATAGTTGTAAACGAAAGATATAAAAATACATTAATATCAATAAAATAATATAAAATAAAATAAATAAAAACCGAACTAGATGGAAGCCCTCGGCAGGGGAAACCAAACGGTCAAGGGTTAGGGGAAAAGGGAAAGAAACCGGCGGACGATGCGGGTGGTATCGGGGAGCACCGCCTTCTGCATTTGAGCCTGGAGTGGTCCATCATGGAGTGCCAGTCGCCTCCGACGATGATGTTTATTATTATTGTTATGTGTGTGTGTCAGGCTGGTGTGCTCGCGCGGCGGGTGCGGGCCGGCGTCGGCGGCGGCGGCGTGCGGCGGCGGCGGCGGCTGGCAGCGCGAGCAGTTCGCGCGCCGCTACGCGCTTGCCGAGGAGCTGGGCCGCGGCCGCACGGCGCGCGTCGTCGCAGCGCGCGACACCGGCACCGGCCACCGCGTCGCGCTCAAGCAGGTCACTTTACCACACGCACGCGCACGCGCACACGCACACGCACATCACTCACAATCAGGGCACCGACAACTTTATTGCCACCAGGGCGACGCACAATCAATTTAGATTAAATCTCGCTTTATCTAACCTTCTCAATAAAATTGACAAGGTATATAAAATCAACAACCGAAATACACACCACACACACTATCACATTTACTTTATATGGATGACATAAAATTGTATGGAAGTAGTTTAAAAGATATACATATTCTTACTGATAGAACAGAAAGCTACTCAACTGATATTCAAATGGAATTTGGAATAAATAAATACAGGATACAATCAATTCGTAAAGGCAAATCAGAACAAAATTCATATACTCTTCAAACAGGTGAAATTAAATCTGAACATTGGCTATAAATATCTTCGATTCACTCAGACTCGACAGATTCACCAAAAACACGTGAAAAAAACATTAGAAAAAGAATTTAAATTACGCCTAAATACAATACTTAACACACATCTAAATACACGAAACACCATTAAAACACATTCTCTATCCCTATCCCAATTTTAACTTGTTCGTTTGGTATAATTCATTGGTCTAAAAGTAATTTAATAAAGCTGCAACGTCTCACCAATACAACAATGTCTAAATACAGACAACACCACCCTAGATCTTGTAGTGAACGACTCACATTACCTAAAGTAAAAGATGGAAGAGGTTTCATAGATATAAAAAATCTTCATAACTCTCAAATTTCAACTATTCGAAACTTCTTCCATCAACAAGCCAATAATAGTCCGCTTCATAATGCTGTTGTCCAAGGCGATACTAGAATCACTCCTTTAAACCTCAAAGATCAAAGAAAACAGAAAAATGAAAGTATTATATCTGCACAGGATAAAATTAACAGCTGGTTGCAGAAGACGTTACATGGAAGACTCCGTCTCGACTTGATGAACACATACGTAGACAAGATAACGTCTAACATATAGCTCAAGCGCGGAGAACTCTTCCCTGAAACGGAAGGCTTCATGTTAGCAATTCAGGACCAAACTATACACACTCTAAACTGCATGAAAAACATGATTAAAGACCACACTCTACAATCAGACCTTTGCAGACATTCTCATAATACCTCAGAAACCATTCAGCATATCACTGGTGCCTGCAGCTCAGTAACCCAGACCGACTATAAACACAGACACGACCAAGTAGCTGCCATTATTCATCAATACCTCTCATATAAATATAAACTTATAGATGAATAAATAGCATATTATAAATTCAAGCCCGAAGTCATACTTGACTCTCGTGAATTCAAACTCTACTGGGACAGAACTATATTAACTGATAAGACCGTGCATTATAATAGATCGGATATTACGCTACATGACAAAAAAAAACCAATCAGTTTATCTTGTAGATATTGCTATACCAAATACTCACAATTTGATTTCCACCTATGATGAAAAAATAGCCAAATACACTGATTTATCCATCGAAATAAAATACCAGTGAAAAGTAAAAACTGTAAAAACTGTACCTATTATAATATCAGCAACTGTACCTATTATAATATCGTTCACTTTTTTTAGCTTAAAGGATCTAGACATCCATAAACTTACCTTTGTATTGCTGCAGAAAGCAGCAATATTGAATACGTGTAGAATAGTCCGTAAGTTGCTGTCTAAAGATTAAACATTCAACCGAGTTCGTTTGGCTAACAGCCCGCGAAAAATCTATAATACCTCGGAAACGAGAGAATACTAAACAGAAAGTATAACAATAATAATAAAACAACGTTCGCGATTTACAAAACTAAAAACTAGTCTTCACCCACACTCGCAATCGAGAAAAAAGTTTGGGGAAATTGATCCGGAATGTATTAAGGCCCCAGAGCCCGTCAAATAGTCATAGAAGTCTTTGGAAAAATTTATATAAAATTCTATATCTATATCATTCTTGTAATTAATTGTTACAATATCAACAACGAGACTAAACGGAACGATTTTTACGTGCTATAACACAAAATCGCCGTACCAATCTGCAGTGAAGCCTTTATCTTTTAGTATAAGGTGCATGGGGAGTCAATATAATTAGATACCCTGAGGTATCACAATTATACTGACTACCCATGACGAACGCACGGATGGACATAACAGAACTAACTATAAGGATTCTTTGTTATTCAACTACAGAACCCCAAAAAGTAAAAGGAGACTTCAAAGAACAAACAAGAATAAAATAATTTCCACACAACAACTTCAGAAGTCGTTGCCAAGGCACAGCGTATAGAAAAATTAAAGAAAACACCATCTTCAGAAGCTGCTTTATGCAAATAATTTATTTTTTCACTTTTAAAAGTTTCTAATTCTTGATTAATTCAGTTTTCGACCCTTTTGAAAGAACTAAAGAATATTACAAGCTACTGAGCTCAAGGTAACTACTAGAAATTCGGCTAAATAGTTACATTAAAAATTTATTTTCCTATTTTCCTACCCTTAGCAATGGAGTTATTTCTCCAATTCATATGAGACAAACCTGGAAGTATAATAACCTGTGGAAGACTTCTCCACATTCAATTCACACATTCCACATACACATTCTAATCTTAATCTTCTTACTTCTACTTCCCTAGTTCACTTACTTCTTAGTCTACTTACCATCAAGTTAACTGTTTGTCGTAGCCTTAAATATAATTTAAAAAAATATATCTCACTTATTGTAGGTGGCAGCCGGTCGAGGAGCGGACGCCGTGCGAGAGTACCGCATCCTTTCCCGAGGTGCCCACGCGGCCGTAGTGAGGGCACTGGCGTTGTTCGCGGAAGTCCCACGGGCGGGCGCCCACACTCTGGTGCTCGAACTAGTGGGCGGTGGACCGTTACTGGACTGGGCGGCCACCTCTTCGCAATACACGCAGCGCACCGTAGCCCATCATACGAAAAGTCTGCTCTCCGCGCTCGACTGGCTGCACGCCAACGAGGTCGCGCATCTAGATGTTAGGGTGAGTGTTGTTTCACAATCATAAAAACATGCTCAAATTAAATACTACTCGAACTAGTCTTAGTTACTTAATTAACATGAAAATAGTTACTATAATTGGACTGTTTATAATAATACAAACAGAACAGATTCAATTATTGTCGGATTTGGTTTTAAAATAACCAGCTAAATCAGCTGACTAACTAACCTAATAAATATTATGTACGGTATTAATAAATAGTAATTTTCCTCCTTACAAAATCGGTTAAAATAATTACTTATTATAGTCCCATATAAACAGTTAATTAACAAATAGAAACACTGTCAACCGAAGAAATGTTCTGGAGTGGCAGTCTTGTACCGACAAGTAGCAGCCCCCCACTAGATGGAGTGACAATCTATGTGACATCTATGTGAAAATTTCACATGAATCTGCACTCCCATCTAGGGAGACCTTGTTATGTGTTCCAATGATAATGATGATATGATGATAATAATAATGATAATGACGATATGATGATAATAATAATGATGATGATGAATATACGAGTATAAACCGTTAAACTGCCCACAAACATTTTGTTTACAAATCATACTGTTCTTTCATCGTAATTTAAGAAAAAAATCTTCCTAACATAGTTTTGACGAAATGTGATGACCCCGTAGGGCAGCGATTAACGTATAGCTGTGGTACTGCTGGCCGGCCTCGATTCATGTTCAAGGTTCATCAAGAATAAGTAATATTTGTACGGGCTAAAATAACTGGCTGACGGTGTTTGCCCAAACTCGGTAGCTTTTTAAAATAAATTATAACTAAAAGCAATTCTTTTCACAGCCGGAAAATATTCTAGTAGAACTAGGCGGGGCACAACCTCAGTTAAAATTGGTGGACTTCGGCTCGGCGGTAGAAACGGGTGAAACGGGAGCAAGCACGGTGAGGGATGTTCTGCCCCCTGCACCTGCTCAGTTGGAATTCGCACCCCCGGAGTGTGTCCTCGGTCGCCCACCGACACCCGCCTGGGACGCCTGGGCCGCGGGCGTTTTTCTATACGTATTCCTAACCGGGGTAAGTAGATTTGCTTCTTTTACTGTATGGAGAAATACTCAAACGATACTCAATTTTAAATATCGTTAAGTTTCGTGGTGTCACAGTCACTTTGACTTAAAGTGATAGAGACAGCACGAGACTTAACGACACGGCATCTTAAAATTGAGCAGCGTTTGAGTATTTTGTCATTACTGTTTCAGATTGATCATATAAACAAAATACTTACTTATGATGTGCGCTGGATAAGGATACGATTTGGTTTATTGACAATTTCAGTATTTGAACGTCAATTTACATGAACTATTAAGATCTTCATAATATGCAATTTCCTTTATTTAAAAAAAGACAAATACGTCTTCTCCACTCTAAGATTTTCTCCTGTATCGTGGAGGCAGTTTGCATACGTAATATATTTCACAAGGACAAACCTAAACCTGGATCAAGTATTTATAGACCTTATAGATGCTTGTCCCGTGCGCATTTCGAACCCTCGGCACTTAGGGCGGCAACATATTGCTAAGCCACTGCGCCGTGGAGCCGCCTAACAAAATTAAAAAGCGTCTGCGTTTTCACGATTCACACAAAGTATTGGGCAGATTTCAATGAAATTTTGTACGAAGGTGTCAGAAGCCCGGGCCTTCTTATATGCTATATTTTTATCCGATTATAGAACTAAAAAAGAACGTTAATTATTTCCTTTCTTTTAAATGTAATTTTCTATTATATATGATTATGTTGGTTATAAGAGGGGTAAAGTAGTATTTTTCAAATAAATAGCTTATTTATAAATAAAGAATAAAATTAGTTTTAACATTTGAAACAACGCCGACGATTGCATGAAATGCAAAAAGTAGTATATTTTGCCTTCAGCTAATAAATAAATTAAAAAATATAAATAACTTACAGTTATATGTTAAATAAGAATTATATTTAAAAAATTACTAGTGATCTGACCCGGCTTCCCGCGAGTGATTTCAGGATCTCGACAACAGCGCCACCTACCGGGTTAAAATGTGTAAATGTTCAAATCTAAACCATCTAGGAACCCATTCAAATACACTAAAAAAATTTCATCAAAACCGGTCGAGCCGTTCTTGAGTTTTAGCGAAACTAACAGACAGCAATTGATTTTTATGTATGGAGATTTGAAAATTCTAATGTAAATTTTTTCGTTATTTTATTTTAATAATGTAAAGTTGCAGCCTATTTACGTCCCAGTGCTGGGCACAGACCTCTTCTCATTTCTGAGAGGGTTTTAGGGCAAGGAAATGTCCGCCGCGCTGCCCCAATGCGTGTTGGCGAACTTCACATGTCTTCGAAATATTTTTTTTTCTTATTTCTCAGACATGCAGGTTTCCTCACGATGTTTTTCTTCACCGCCGAGCACGTGGTAAATCAGCTCTTAAAATTGCAATTAACAATTTCAATAGTGCCGGCGGGGATCGAACCCGGGTTGCTCGAGTACTAACCATCTGAGCTACCACGGCCCTTCTGTGCTACCTCGGTACTCGGCTTTAATAATGTAACAAATAATAATTTAAATAGAAATATAAAAATTTAGATTTATTTCATCTATAAATAAACTGATTAAAACTGGATTGCCTGCGAATATTGAAAAACTCATTATCCTTATATGTTTAATTAAATAGGTTTTTATACATGTTGTACATGTAATAAATTAGTCGATCATTTTGTGAAACTGTGGTATTTCATGAAATTTAACAATATTTGTTGACCATACGAGTATCACGATATAGCTTGCCAAATCAATGAATAGAGGTAGTTTGACGATACAAACAACTAAACACAACATCGCTATTTCATGATATATGTAAAATAAATAATGAAATCACTACTGGCGGCACTGATAGCGTAGTTTTTAATAGAAACAGAATTTTTAGCTGAATCCAGATAACTTTACGCCTAAGTATTATATTATACTACCTGGTAAACGACGCGTTGCTGCCGCAGAACAAATAATTGTACAAATATCGTTTTAAATTTGGAACACTTATATTGTTTAATTAGGAATGATAATACATTCATTGAAGTTAAGTGATATATAACTTTGAAATGGTACGATACGCGCGCCACCTATTGTAAGTTTATTGTACTATGCCTATAACCTTCCCACAAGTGCATGCAATAAGGTGACAAAGTTTTAGCGCAATCTAATAAACGTTAAGGCAGCGATTAAAGTACGAACAAACAAATGTTAATTTTTATATATTTGACACTTATAAGATATGACCAGTAATTATTGGCTGTAACATGAAGTGATTGCGATTTTTATGATTTTTTTTTGTTTAACTAAATACAAAAGTTCGTTATAAGATTTCATGGCACTGGACGGGAGTAAAACATGCACGATTCCCGTGAGGACCAATGATACTGTTATTGGAAAAAATATATTATGGTGATTGTTTGACACCAAGTATTCGGTAGTAAAGTGGTGAATAATAACTTCGTGGGGAAACTTAGAATTCTGAGTAGTTAAAAAAATTCGCAGACATGCGAAAACCATTAATACGTATTATGGACTCTTTCCTGTCCACAAAACACTTAGGTAATGGGGAACACTATGCACAGTCGTGAGACCTGTGTAAGCTGCTACTGATAAATCAGTGTCATTTATTAAGATAGCTTTCATTTTCTTTTCATTTTCATATACATTAAGGTTTTTGTGACACATCCGGTTTAATAGATCTCATGAGTTTAAATGCTCTTGCGTAAAAGTACTATAAATATTAAAGAAAGCAATTTTACTTAAAGACATGGTTTATTTTTATTTTAACTTTAAGTAGAAATGCACTGATAACATTTTGAAAGACACTTGTCAAAGCCGGTAATCGAACCGATCCAAACTTAAATTTCATACTGCGGTACAACGCGAATGAGGCCATTCACGATTTTTGCTTCCACCAAGGCGGCGCCACTTAAAATGAGACGTATGTACGATATTTGACAGATTGCATAGCGGGGAAGTTAATTTGTTCGTGAAATGTAAATCTTATTGCTTCTTTCTGTACTATTAGCTATATTTTATATTATTAAGATTAAAAATAAATAAATCAAACCACAGATAAGCATTCATAAAAGTAGAAATATATTAAAAAGTTAAAAATGTGCACAAAATTAAAGAGCTAACCACCGAGGCATTGTTTTGTGTATTGATATAATACTCTAAAAACGGATAAACTTTTATTAACAACTAACTTCTCAATTAAATGACATTTGTGTTACAAAAGACTTTAACTCAGTATCAACTGGCGACATCTGGTGAGCAGAAAATTATTAGCCCTCATTCGATTCACACAGACACCACTCAAATCATTGCAATTTGAAGTATCGATTTACCACGTTATAGGCGGTGAAGGAAAACATCGCGAGGTAACCTGCATTTCTGAGAAGTAAAAAAATATTTCGGAAAATATTTTTATATCTGAAATCGGTCATCCCGTGTTGGCATCTCAAAACTCTCTGCGGCTTATACCCAGTGGAATCTATGTAGGCCGCTACATTTTTACTTTTATTGGGCTATTATGAATATTTATTTAATTCATATTTTCGGTGATGTTACATTTTTTATTTTCATTGTCATCATTACAAGCTACGAAAAGTCCTGCTGAACATAGGCCTCCCTAGGCCCCGCTAGGAAGATGCTGCTGCCCATCCCCTGTTTCAGTTTCTCTATGTCGTCTCTTACGGCGCGCAGGGAACTTCGAGTATATGGGGTAGTCGATTTTCATCGGCCGCCACTACGAGGCAAATATATTTTCTCCTATTCCCGTTCATTAACGTAACTTCGCTCGTGTTCAACGTGAACATAGAGAACTATATTCATGGACTGTTGAAGTTAATTCGAATGAAAAAAAATATTTGCTTCTATGGTGCAATTCAGTATTCAATGGAGCAGTGGAGTAGTAATGTGGAGTGGAGTATGAATCAGTTATCGCAAATAAACATAATGCCGTAAATTAAGAGAACACGATGAAATTCAATATCATTTTATGAAAACTAAATTAAATAAGAATAAATAAAAAAGGGTAAAATTTAAATAACACAGTTATGTTCCAAACTCATTTACCCTTTGTAAGGATATATCGGTAAATATGGCTATATATACAAAAAGTGATACCTATTGCTACACGTAGTGTAAACAGTCACTTATGTATTCCTATAGGATATTACATCTATGCCAAATTACAACCATCTACGTCCAATAGTCTCTGAGAATTCAATTAAAACGTGAGTCTACAGGTGATCCTATTTTGCTAATTTTGGCACGGAGCAGTATTAAATGAAGTTCCTAAATTAAAGTCTAGTAACTATCTAAATTAAAATAGTTTTTTGTTAAATTTATTCCCTTTGGAGATCCTTGTTCATATCTGATCATATGATAATGATGATGTTTTTTTTTGTAATGATAATAACTTTTTTTTATAAATAAAACTGAACTTACAGACTATCTGAGGGTCAGAGATGTCACCTCTGAGGACTATAATGGAATGCCTCACAGCCTCTTATGGGTACTCTATATTTGCAAAAGTAGTTTATCATGTTTTAATACATTAAGTTAAAAAATTCCAATAAAAAAAATTGTGATAAACTGATCGAAACTTGAATGAGTTGCGCGCGTGTAGAATACACGACAGAGTATCGTTGGCTGTGATAAAAATTAAATACTACCATTGAATAAAATTTCTAATTATAAAATAAATTATTTGTGTAAATCCTAACTCGCAAACATTATAAAAATTCGTGATAACTTTTTTTATCGGAAAGAATAATTAATGTAAAACAAATAAATTAAAGTGAATAATATAAAAACAGATATAAAAATACATACCTTTCACATAAAGTGGTTACATGACCGCGGTTTTATTTGGACTCTGCAAGCGTAACTGAATTTTCTGCCTACGTCTAGCCGCGAACTATCGCCTCGCAAACTACAATTACCTCGCAAATTGTCACGCGGTGCTCCGCTGAAACAAGCGGCAATCATGTCGTTATGCGACCCATCATTCCATCAGCCAGTAATCATTCTATCATAATGGAGCGTCTCCGATACATTGCATCGACGACAACGCGGCCACAATGATTTGTACCGGGTGTCAAAGATAATAGCCGTGTCAATGATGCGTTTTACTTATTACGTAGCCTTGTACTCGTTGGCTTGATGCCTCGTGTCGGTGTTCGCGGATTAACATATTATCTCAGATTTGTCGCCACCGGCAAAATGCTACAGAATTGTTGTTACTAAAGTAAGCTAACGAGCAAAAGCTTTCCAAACCATTCGTTGTATACATGATTGATTAGAAAATTAATTATGTTATAAATACTTTTATATTATATATTTTTTATTCATAATTCAACTATGTATTAAGGTTACTGCAAAAATTAATTATTGGATACAGAAACAATGCCATTTACTATACTATTTAAAATAAAGAGGTAAACTATGATTTTCTTTAATAAAAACCTTGTTAATTACAAATTTTATGAAAGTTATCAAGGCGTCCAAAACACTTGTGAAAGTCGAGGACTTTGATAAAATCATTTTGCACCATGCACCGTCCGTAACTCACGTTATGTAATGTATGCATATCATTCAATTGTTACAAAGCGTTATATCAATCATGAGAGCGATCCTTTTATTGCATTGGCCTATAAAACCGACGACACTATCAGTCGACGTTGTTTCTATGGAACTTTATCAAAATGTGTTTTATTATAGAATAAGGTAAAAAAACAAGCACACTCAATCCCATAATAGGTCTTAACGTAGAAAATTGTCGTTTTTTTTTATGAAATAAGTTAACGTAATTTATTCTATATTTTTTATATCTATTAATCAAAGCAATCACCCATACAATCGATGCATCTTTGCCAACGCAGTGAGTGGCAGTATATTGAAATGATCTTGAAAAAGTCATCTGGACGGGAGGCAACACATTCTTCAAAGACATTTTGTACTGCCTCTCGGGTATTGAATTTTTTCCCGCCAAAAAGCTATCCAAATTTTGGAAAAAGTAAAAGTCTGTAGTTTGTAGCGCAAGGTCTATATATCATAGATTTTTATACCGGGGGTGTTGTTTTCATTGTGCAGCTGTCGCCGTTCCTGGACGACTCGATCGAGGAGACGACGGCGAACATTATCAAGTGTGACTACTGCTTCCCAGCGGAGCACTGGGGCGGTGTGGACGAGCGCGCGCAGGCGCTCATCCGCGGTCTGCTGGCGCCCGCGCCCGCGCACCGCCTCGCTCCGCGGGCTGCGCTTGACGACCCCTGGCTCGACGAGGTCGCATATTTATTACCTGTATTTATTCCGCACTTGACTACCCCTAAAGCTGAACGCACAATGCCGCGCCGCACGCGCCGTACGCGCCGAATTTTAGAATTCGTTGTATGAAATTATATGAAACCTCGCACATTACAGCCGCACCGTATGCGCCGAATTTTATAAAATACGATAGGTATACGATATCGAAGGACGAATGCTGATGAAGTCATATAACGCGGCGCGTTCGGCGCGTGCTGATACTGTGTTGTCTAATGTTGCCAACTTAGTGGATTTTCCACTGTAACTGGTGGTTTCGACTTACATGATAATTTTTATAACTTTTAATTCATTCGTAATTAATTATACACAATTTGACTTTTTTTGCATCGATTATCAATATGTACCTGATTACTTAATTATCAATAAAAATACTTAGCTCAAACTCAGCTTTCGAAATCTTGAGTTTTCCATAGAAAGATATGGTTTTAGTATATGTTATATATATATATATATATATATATATATATATATATATATATATATATATATATATATATATATATATATATATATGTGTGTATATATATATATATATATATATTCAACATATACTAAATATATATATATATATATATATATATTTAGTATATGTTGAATGCAAATTAGAAAAAAAGTAAAGTTGCAGCCTATTTACGTCCCACTGCTGGGCACAGGCCTCCTCTCATTTCTGAGAGGGTTTTAGTGCAAGGAAATGTCCGCCGCGCTGCCCCAATGCGTGTTGGCGAACTTCACATGTCTTCGAAATATAGCAAATATCTAAAAAAAATCGTTCATTATCATCTAATAAGTCTTTAAATAAAGTATATCCCCTTCATATTCCAAATACAAAATTGCCTTTTTAAATTAATATTATAAATCCAGAATCTTCTTTTTCTTCTCCTCTTCCGATAAGCAGGTTATTACTAAATTGCTTTCCATAGTGATTTCGAGCGATCACACTGTACCGTTTCACACCAGTGGTTGGAAAAAACTACAAAAGTTGTTGGTAATACAAAAGATTTGCGTACAGCGCGGACGATGCGTACGTGCAAATGTGCGAGGCCATCAGTAAAACTCGATGCGTACGGCGCGTGCGGCGTGGACAAATGTGCGTTCAGCTTTACTTGCATTTATTACTTTGCTAATGTTATACTCTCTCTGTAACTGGATAAACCCTCTCTATAACTGGAGAGAATCAAAACCATGTCCAGCTGTGAACCAGCGGTGAAAAAGGTAGACATTCAAGGCGATTTGAGAATAAAATTGTAGTACCAGTATTTGCATGCACATACATAGATAGTGTAGGTAACCAAAACACTACAGTACATAGTCGGCCATCAAGGGGAATTAAATATTCCCAATTTTTTTTACACTTTATGTAAGAAAATGAAATTTTTTTTTTTTAATTAATTCACTTATATCTATATTTTTGCAAATTAAAATTAGCTTTACATTATGAAAATCTAAACAGGCGTCTTATTTCAAATAGAAAATAATATACAGGACTCGGTAAAAGTGTAATAAAACGGTCTCTTTTCTTGTAATTCAATAAACATATCCTTATAAAATTCTTAATTATATATTAAAGTAACGAAACTCACTATTTTCTTAACACGAATCTACCATAACGAGTTACACTTTTTGTTATGGTGTTATGTATATTTTTATTGTGCGTACGGAGTTGATAAAAAAACATAACGCTTAAACTTATTACATAATATCTAAATAATAGAACGCAAACAGTTGTTAATAATGGCAGCAGTTCTTCCGGATCGGTAGTATCTATGTGTCTCCCTCAGGGCTTAATTCTTGACCTGTTTCTGTTCTTAATTTATATTAATGAGTTGCCTTACTTGGTAGGGAATAACCATGATATAGTTTCATTTCAACGAAGTATAATTTGCTGATAATACTTCGTTGATTTTCCGACTTAAAAGGCAATTATTAAAATATGACTGAAGTGAATAATTCTATATCAAAATTAGGACACGGGTTTAACGTCAATAATTTGCTTTTAAACGGTAATAAAACGAAATGTATTAAATTTAGAACACCAAATGCTAATGAGGTGAATATCGGTGTGCTTATAAATCGGTCGCTCCCCATTCACTGTTTTTCTCAGAATTACAGTTGACGAAGCTTCAATGGGGCTTTCATATATCTAAACTAGCTAGCAAACTTAGTTCTGCAGCATATGGTGTAAAAATGATTAGAGGCGTTACATGTCTTTGGACAGCTAGATTAGTTTAGTTATTTCCATAGCATAATGTCACATGGAATCTTGATATGGGGTCATGCGACTGACATTGAAACTATCTTTGTTTTGTAGAAGAGAGCCATACGAGCAATTTATAACCTAGGTCCCAAGGGATCCCTTAGAAAAAAATTTAAAGAAATAAATATATTTACTTTGGCCTCTCAATATATTTACGAAAATTTAATATGTGTACAGAAAAACAAAAATAGTTCTATTAAAAATAGTGCTGTACATTTTGTAAATACTAGAAACAAGCACAAATTAGTTATACCAGTTACTTGACTCGAAAGAATCAGTAGTTCCTTCATGGAGTAACGTGTACGCTTTTACAACAAAGTTCCAGAATATTATTTTTTGTTGAAAATTGATATAATAAATTTGTATGACTTTTTGCTCACGTCATTGACTGTAGCTTATCATCACCTACTAAAAACTACCACCATCAGCCCTATTACCCGTTCTTTGCTTTACGTTGATTTTTGAGACACCTGTAGATACTGTTTGTAAAGCTAGAAATTATTGACCCCCCCTCCCATAACTATGTAACAGTAGTAACATCGATACGTATATACAGGGCGAACGGGTAACGAGTAGTAAGTAAATGTATCGTAGAAAAAGCGTAGGTGTAACTTTAATTCTAATCATTACAGGCGCCAGCGACTCCGTTGTCAGCAACACAACTGAAGACCTTCTTGGATCGACGACGGCCGGCGGGTCACGGCAACGCATTGCACTCCCTACGCTCACCTGACGACACATGACGTCCCGAAACCGAAGGGGAGGTGTTCCCGCACGCACTCGCTCCCTTCAATCCTCTTCACGAGCAACGCGCCCTCTACGAAGCCACGCCCACCAAGGACGACGACTGAGGTCCAATCCGCGGGGCGGACTCTTTACATGACGTTACCCATCATTACAAAACAGGGCAATTATCAGTTCTTCATGGACACAAAAGTTGAATGCTGTCTCTATTCTGACCTCAAAATCGCCTATGAACTGGAGTATAAAATAAATTGATTTTCTGAAGTAAATATAAACAACGAATCCGTGTATGTGCCGACCCTATTAGCCTATATCGAAGCTTCCAGAACTGATAACAACATTTTACATTTACTTGTGATTTAAGAGAGTGTCAATCGTTCCAGTCAGTCATTGACATCTCTAATATACCTTAGCATACGTTCACACTCGACTTAGATTTTTAAGTTTTTAGGTTATAGTCTAAAGGTAATCGTTCGTATAGTCAACGCGCCCACCTCTCGATTTCCGTACTGTGAACGCGAAATCCTTGCTACTTTTTATTATTTTAAATGAATTTCGTTATTGCTACGGTTTAAGAGCGATGAAATATTATATATTCGGTGCATAAACAACAGATGAGCTGAAGCAACGTATTGCGATAGCGTAAGGAGCGTAAGACCAGGCCGTAGGAAACGCATCTGGCAAATCGTAGCCGCCTATTCGTGAATGTATTGTCTCTCGCTAGTGTAATGTTTGTATGGATTTCCCGAGCAGCCGGTGTGAGGAAAGTGTCTGTGATTTATGCTAAAGTAATGATTCATGCTTATTCCTATATTAAAGTATGTAATTGTTAATGAATTTGAAATTGTATATAGCACTAGGTTAAAGCATTTCTTTTTAACTTGTAACCAAAATGCAAAAAATTGCGTATGTAAAATATAATATGAATTCTCTATGTACGTTTATTTGATAATTAGCCGTAAAAATTGTAATTCCACGTTTATACTGCCACAGAGCATCGCATGCTTTAAGATATTATAATCTGTGACATAGTTAAGTTTATCGTTTTAAATATAATACTTAGTACGGTGGTCATCACATGTCAATTGGATATCCCCATCAGTTTTTCCTTTTGACTAATAAATAATTTACGCCTTATTCTGTTCATTGTTTCACAGTGCAGGCGATTTTTTTTTTGTTTCCCGAATACACATCAAGTTTACAATCCTAAAGAGTGTAGAGTACCCGTCATTTTCTCATGTATAATGAGTGGTAGAAAAACAAAAAATAAGCTTTAAAACGAACAAAACATAAATCAGATCAACACTACAAGTATTAAAATAAGTTTTGATCCTAGTCTTAGCTGATGCTATGTGTACTACGCTAAGATAATGTAAATGTAATCCATTACAAGAAAACATATACAATAAGTGAAACGCCTATTGGTCTTTTAGTATAAATACCGTTAAGTAACACTATGTACGAAGGGCTGCACTTTGACATATTTATTAATTAAATTGAAATCGAGTCATGAAATAGCTCTTGAGAAAACGCCTTAATGAATTCTAAGTATGTGCCTCAAAAGTGCGGCCTTTCTGAAGGAAACGCTGTCATGCGGCCAATTTAATATGCAGAGCTGCCTGCCGGTGTTACTTTAGAATCAAAATGTATTATTATACTAGTACTGATGTAATACAATAAAATTCATTATATAATTTTATGAAAGATAACTTGTTTTATTTTTCATGCAATTCAAAAGATACATTTCATTCTAAGTGGAATGGTTCGACGCCATCTTGCGATAAATGCAAATAAATAACATCCTCCGGAGCAGACTATAATCGTGTTATATTACATTTTTAATGGGAAAGCTACGGAAAATTCATGTAGTGGTGGCAATTTATACACAGGAAATAATAGACTTTTAAGACTGTAGTACTTGAGCGTGGGAACTTCTAATAGAACACCTACATTGATATTTTCTAATCACACAGACGCATCGCGCAATGTAAGCACCAAAAGTGATTTATTCATATCCAGGGTGCGACATGAATAAATTACTTTTGGTGCTTCGCACAAGTTACATATTCATCACGCGTTCGTCTTCGTAGGATGTTCATGAATGTCACAAAAACACGCATTGAAACAGGAACAGAAACAGAAACTTTTTTATTCAATATAGATTATAAATAATACTTATTGAAAGTCACTCTTTTGTTAAAAAAAACCTCTGTCCTAGGAAGAACCAGCAAGAAAACCAGCGGGACTTTTTTTTTAAATAACAGCTTACAATCGTGTATGTTACACAAATTAACAACACAACAAATTAGAAATAGCTTGGTAGCGATCACCTTATTTCCAGGGGTTATTATCATCCATAAATTCTTTAACATTATAATAACCCTTTTTATACAAACTTAGTTTAATAAAGTTAAGTCAAATTTTGTATATTTTGTAGAATTTTGTTGTAAAAGCGTATACATCGCCCCAAGAATGAACTACTGACTCGATGGAGTCGAGTAACTGGTACTACTAGCTTGTGTCAGTTCCTAGTATTTACAGAATGAATATCACTTATATTTGTAAAACTACTTTTATTTTTGTGTACGTACAATTGAGAGGCCAAAGTTAATATATTCATTTCCTTAAATTTTTGTCGCAGCGACTCTTTAGGCTTTAAATCATAAATTGCTCTTATGGCCCTCTTCTGTAAAACAAATAAAATTTCAGCGTCAGCTGCGTGTCCCCTTACTAAAATACCATACGACATTATGCTATGGAAATAGCTAAAGTAAACTAGTTTAGCTGTTTGAACACTGGTAAGACTTCTAATCTTTTTTACAGCATATGCTGCAGAACTAAGTCTGCTTGCTAGTTTTAATATATGGAGGCTCCATTGTAGCTCTAGTCTAATGTGATTAGTCTATTGTGATTCCAATAAAAATGGTGGTATCTACAAGACTCAGTTTCTCCTCATTCAAAATTACATTAGTATTTAACTGTTTGTCATTAGGAGTCATGAATTTCATACATTTCGTTTTAGTGCCATTTAAATGCAAATTATTAACATTGAACCAATTTACTACTTTAGATAGAGCATTATTTACTTCGTCATATTTTAGTTATTGTAATGTTTTAGTTATATTTTAGTCACTGTATCTGCTATTTGCAATTTATTAATAAATAGTAATGCAAAGGGTGGGGTCAGAGTGTACGCTTTCTAGGTATTTGTATACTATAATATTATTTTATTTATAAACAAATTTTAAATATTTATTATCAATGTTTTGTGTAATATGGGCAATGTGGGTTTCATAAATGATCTTTTATTAAAAAATTAAGGTTAGTACAGATTTAAACAATCACAGTGGTTTAAAATAAAAAGTTTATATACGGTATATAAATATACAGTATGTAACAAACAAGTTGGTCGTTGGTTGGTCGTTTCAGGGACGTATAGGTATACTATTAATGGGATTTTAGCGCTTCTAATCAAGTAACTTACTAAATTTAATATTTCTAAAAATATTATTTGCATCTGAACTGAACGACACGTGCCGATATACCCTCCGGTCACTGTGAAGTCTCTGACATGGCCGATACAGCATTATTTGAAAGCGAACCGCGGAGTGCGCTGGAACCCCCAAGGTTTGTGTGTTTTTGTGGGGGATCATATCTTTTATGTTGCAACCATTGCGGCTATATTTTACTGCCAAGGAGAAATAATTAATTCGTGTTTTCTTTAAATATATGAGTATAATGTTATGGCTTATACTATAAAGTAGGTATAATAAAAATGTTTTTGTCTAAATTTATATATTACTAGGTTTTTACCCGCGGCTTCGCTCGCATGAGCTTGAATTTAGGAACATCATTAAATGCTGTTCCGTGACAAATTTAGCAAAATTCGATCACTTTTAGAGTCACCTCGTGAATGTGTCTCTAAGTCTGTCAAAAGCTTTTTTGAATTCTAAATGACTTAGACATAGATTAGGTATTAGGCATAGATATAATATGCTACAGGAACACGTGAATATATATGTCCAGAAAACACCTACTATTTTTATATAGGGCGTGTCTTCCGATGTATCCATAAGAAAGGTAAATTATCTCGAAATCAAAATGTATTATTATCTATTATTTACATTTTATTTTTTACATTAATTCATTATTAAACTTAATTTAGTTTTAACAAAATAATGATGATTTTCATGGTCTTCTATCAATTTGCGGGATAATGTTTGTTTGAGATATTTTATACATATTTAATATTGATCGGCACCATAAAATAGATGTAAATATATTTTTACGTTCGGGTAGACTTTAAAATTTCATAAATGCAGTTCTATAATGATGTATACTGTATACATCATTATAGAACTGCATTTATGAAATTATAAAATATAGTAGGTATACAGTATACTATACATGGAATAAAAGTAATGTTACGGATTTTATCACGTTTAATTTTAACTTTTTTTAGGTGGGGTTTTTACGCATCTTTGGATGAGTATCATAAAAACCCGCGTAAAAGAACATATCGTTGATGTAAACACTGACGCTCCAGGAAGTCTAAGGAAATGTCAACATGTTTAGTATCGTCCCAACCATTATATCGAATCTGATAGACAACAAATCCTTGCAATAGAACACCGATTCCAACCAATGATGATTCGCGAGGCTATTGATGTTAAAAAATATCCTAATTTTAATAGGGAAGATGGCTGAGTGCTACCGTCTGCTAAGGACCCTATAATTAATAAAATTAAAGTCAAACCTAAGCATGCCATTGCATTTATTGTATTCATTTCTATTTTTATTCTATTCTATTCTAAATATGATATCAGGTGGTCAAACACCTCAGTCCTCCCGTGACCATGGGTACTGTAAAGTGCCCAAAACATCTGGAATTAAAAAAGTTAAAATTAAACGCGATAAAATCCTTAAAATTAGTGTCATTGCTTATAAATTTTATTCACAGTGAACGTGGAAAGCACTACACACATGAACGGGAGTAGAA